TCCGCCAAGATGGAGGCAAGGGGGATGTGCCGTGCCTTCTCACACAACCAAGTTTAGAGACAACAAAATATTAGCAACAGAAAACACAGCCAGAACATGAAAAATTGAACTTTTCGGGAGTCCGTTAACAACAAATTCTTCAGCCTGACCGGTAAGGGGCGAAACCAGCGGCTGGCGGAGCGGGGTTGCACAGGAGGACTTGGTCAGACGGACTCAGGCCCGTGGAATCCAGACACGCGGGGTCCAGGTGCAGGGTTGGACCTAGTGAGCCACCGAGCAAGCGACCAGGCGAGCGACTGCGGGGGAGACAGCGGAGGAGCGGTGCTGCCTGTTGACTGTGGTCTCGCATTTGTGCGTGGGCAGACAGGCAAGGGAGTGGGCGGTTGGACCGGGCCCGGCGGGTCCTGCGGCGGCAAGCGGCAGTGGAGGGCTCCGCCATTTCCCTGCTCTGACCCCACCTCCACATACAGCGTCATAACCCAGCGACTCTGAGTGGCCCAGCCCAGGGGAACCACCTAAGGCGCTAATCCTCACCCAGCTGTGAGAAACAGCAGAGGGGGTCACCATTTCCCCGCTCTGACCACGCCCCCACATACAGCGTCACAACCCAGCGACCTGGGAGTCCAAGGCTCCGCTCCTCACACTTAAAGGGCCAGAACAGACCAAAAATGTCGCAAGAAGATCTCAAAGCCCCAGAACTTATAGATCTAAGCGATGAAGAAATAGCAAAACTCTCAGACGCACAGTTTAAAACACTGGTGATCAGGATCCTCACAGATCTGGTTGATTATACCCACAAATTAGACAAATATATGAAGGCGAAACTAATTGAAATGAATGGAATTGCACAGGGCACCAATAGCAATGAAAAGGGAACTGGGACTCAAATCAATGGAGTGGACCAGAAGAAAGCAAATAATGGCCAAACACAAAAGAGTCAAGAAGCAAGAATTCAAAGAAATGAGGAGAGTCTTAGGAACCTCCAGGACATCTTTAAATGTTCCAACGTTCGAATTATAGGGGTACCAGAAGGGGGAAAGGAACAGCTACCAGTGGAAAACTTATTGGAACAAATAATAAAGGAGAATTTCCCCAATCTGGCAAAGGAAATAGACTTCCAGGAAATCCAGGAAGCTCAGAGAGTACCAAAGAAGTTGGACCCAAGAAGAAACACACCAAGTCACATCATAATTACATTAGCCAAAATTAAAATGAAGGAGAGAATCCTAGAAGCAGCAAGAGCTAAGGGGACAATCACCTTCAAAGGAGTCCCCATCAGACTGTCAGCAGATTTCTCAAAAGAGACCTTACAGGCAAGAAGGGGCTGGAAAGAAATATTCCAAGTCATGAAATCCAAAGACCTACAACCAAGATTGCTCTATCCAGCAAAACTTTCATTTAGAATGGAAGGACAGATAAGGTGCTTCTCAGATAAGATCAAATTCAAGGAGTTAATCATCACCAAGCCCTTACTATATGAAATGTTAAAGGGACTTACCTAAGAAAAAGAAGTTAAAGAAACATGAACAGTGAAAGGACAACAAACTCACAGTTATTAACAACCACACCTAAAACGAAAGCAAACTAAAAGGACAGCTAGATCAGGAGTGGAAACATAGAAATGAAGATCTCAAGGAGGGTTAGCAACAGGGGAGTGGGAGGAGGAGAAGAGGGGAGAAGGTATAGAAAATAAGTAGCATAGACAGTAGATAGAAAATAGAAGGGGGGGCAAGAATAGCATGGGAAATATAGAATCTAAAGGACTTGAGATACATGGTCATAAACTAAAGGGGGGTAATCGTGGGGATGGGGGGTAGGGTGGAGGGGAATGAAAGGGGGAATAGAACAACTGTAACAGCATAATCAATAAAAAAATTTTTAAAAAAACCGAAGGAGTCAATAAATAATACAAAATGCTTTAGTGCTAAAACAGAACTCTTGTTTTCTATGTATCTAGTTGAGCAATCTTTATGCCAACCAGAAAGAGCCAAATCTATTTAGTTCATTAAAACATAGGAACATTCAATTTAACAATAAAACTAAAAATAAGCAGTGTTTCGCTTATAGACCATGTACAATGGAACACACTCAGCTGAAAAACAAATCCAATTTCAAGTCCTTTGCAATATAAACACGACTAGAAGTGTTTCTCCATCCTGTACCCTTACGTTTTATATTAGAAAGCATTGTTACCAGTTTTCAGAGATGATTTTGAGATTGTTAGGTGTAGGAGAGTTCAATCTAAGAACATGAATTATTTCATTCTAAAATGCAGGGTTTTTCCTGTATATTGATGAAATGCATATACAGCTAACCCATTTTCTGTAGTGTGTGTGTGTGTGTGTGTGTGTTTGAATAAAGGCAACTTAAAATGTGGGGTGCTGCATTTACCAATCAGCGCCAACCCTGGCATGCCAGGAGTGGGGCCCCGAGGTGGCAAGGTGGCTGGTCCTTGGTACCCTCAGGCCTTCGGATCTGCCCTGAGAGGGAACCTGTTACTCTTTGAAGACCAAGGAAATCTAAAGCCCATTCTGACTTGAGAAAAGGAAGGATTATCATTTCAGAGTTCAACTTTCATTAATTCTACAATAAAATTTTTTTAAAATGTGGTCTGGATTTTTTTAAAAAATCGTATTAACATGAATCTAAGTTGATTCCAGCCCCTGGAGTCAACCTTACCATGTTAGATCTTCAGAAGTAAGAGTTCTGAAACCGTAAATAATCAAAGCTCACTCTAGAAGTGGGTGTGGCTTAATCAGCAAGCTCAGTCCTGTTATTCTCGGGGTTTTACTGCAATTTCAGCTGGTCTGCAGCCGTGCCCGAAACTGGGCAACAGGGGAGCGCACCCAGCACCCACGGCCACCCGGACGCCGTGGCCCTCCCTATAGCCGCGAGGCGCACACACCGAGGCGGGGCTTCAGCTCTGGGTCCCCCTGCACCTTCCAGAGGATGCTTCGATGACACATGGCAGCGACTTAGTTTCCACAGAGTGTTCTCGTGGAGAAAGTGAAGGGCCTCTTTGTAACTTCAGCAGCTCCATGTTCAAAAATAAAGTGACCAAGTTGCAAAATAATCACTAGTCAACTTCTCCGTTATAAGGGTGCTTTATGGTGGCAAGGGAGTGATGTTTTCCCCATTTCTCCCACTGTTCTCTCTGTGACACCCAGTCCACCCGCCCCCAACCACCACCTGGCACAGACTCCGGGGACACCCAGCTCCTCTCCGGGTGCAAACAGGTCCCCCGCCCAGATGGGGAGCAGTTAATTCGTCCAGCATCTTTGAATGACACCAAAACATGTCCCTGAATGTGACTAAGAAAAAAAAAATCACATGATTAAACCACACAAGGTACATATGATCTTAAACCAACACACTTCTAAGTTTGTTTTTTTACAGACTTACATCAACCAAAAAAGTCCAACTTTGAGAATTTTGCTTTTTTTCCTGTCTAGGTTAACATTTTGAAACATCAAAAAAAAAAAATTAATTCTACTGACAAGTCAAATGTCTTGAATTGGTCTAACTATAATTCTGAATGAAATATAAAATAATTACAGAAAAAAGCACACTTTGTTTGGCCTTTTTAATCTAGTTGAACATATTGTTAATTGGAAAATATTTTCTTTTAATGAACAACGATGACAGGTTTCTAATACTTTATGGTGCTTGTCAAACTGCACATCAAAATAAACCTGCCTAGAGCGGCCACCGTTCGCCAGCGCCGCCTTCCTGGGTCTGCTCCATCATCCCCGGCTCCATCGTCTCTGGCTCCATGACTGGCTTTCTGAGCAGAAGCATCTCCTGCTCAGGGTGCCCTGGCCTCTGGCCCTTCCTTTTCAGACACAGAAATGAAGCAGCAACTTCAGTGAAGTGACCCATCAGATGGAACAGCTGTGGCAGCAGGGACACAACAGCTCATTTCTAGAAGTTTTGCTGAAACATCATCTTCAAACATCATATAAAAAAGGAAAACATCACATGAGCCCCATCGACGGGAGGGATAAATGCACCAAAGAGTGTGTTTTAGGTTAAAAAAATAACCTCGGATTCGTGAAAGTTTTAAATTTTCTCCATATATATTGTATAGCAGCTTGAACAATCTATTATTTTTAGACTTTGCTTTGATTCCTCTGAATTATTAAATACTTATTATAACATCACTGTATAAAAATAATATCAATTCCATCATCTTCTTTGACAGTGTTAAAGTACCCCAACCAGTTATACATACTCATATACACATCTCTAAAATAACCAGACAACCTGTGCAGAATTTCTTTTTTAATGGTCCAAACATGAGAAGGGTCAAACATCTGGGAATAACACTTAGAACAGTTTGAAACAGCGACGTACACCTGGACTTCCACACCGACGGCCTTCGGCAACGCCGGCACCGTGTGCCGACCAGCCCACAGGCACCCAGGGGTGTCTCCCCACCCTGGCATCAAGGACACTTGCCCGCCAGAAGGGCCGCGGGCACAAGGACTGCCAGTCTAGAGCCCCAAACCCTGGAGCCCTGCCTGAGCGAGCTGCCCCCCGCCACCCTGACACAGCACCATCAGTGACCTCCATCCACCCATGTAACATCCTTCTCGGCCACACTGTTGCACACCAAGTGTGAGCCGGGGGAACGTAAAAGCTGACTTAAGTTGAGGCGTAAGGGCTCCTGGGCCATCCTCCAGTTCACATTTCTAACGAGCCATTTCTAAATTTCTCTGAGAGATTAATCTGACCTTCCACTCCTGAGCAAAAATTGTACCTTACCAAGAGAAGTGAGTTGGTGAAGCTCATGCCCCAGGCAGGAAATGTGGGACCCTACGCCCAGGCCCTGAGGGGTCCGTGGGCCTTCTGCACAGAGGCTGGGAGACGCCTCCACTCTGCGCGCGCCGCGTGTGTGTCTGTGGTGACGGGGGCGGTGGCGTGCCTGGGAACACGCTCACGCTGAATGAACAACTGCCCTTCTGTCCCAGGGGGCTTTTTGGCCCTTTTTTTGGGGGGGGGACAGCAGAACATGTGTGTTAGTTTAAACTGCAATGAATAGTTGAGATGAACAGTGACCCTTTAAATTTCTTTTCCAAAGTAACTCCCATGAAAAATAAAAAACTCTGTCAGTAATTATCTCCCCAACTCTCAAAACAGTTTCCTTTAAACAGTGCTCTCTTTCCCAGTGAACACAGCGCAGCAATATAGGGAGACGCGGACGGCTAAGAACACTGAGGACAGCAGGACTGGCAGGCGAGTCACGTGTGTTGCTAGCAGTCAACCCGGAAACGTACAAGGGACGGCACTGAGCACAGGATGGGCACGTGCACTCCCAAGATCGCCCTCGTTACGACTCTGACGACCGGGAGGATGTTGCTGGGACCACCCCGTCCTCCTCAGCCAGCACTCACTCGGGCGGGAGGAGGGCAGGGTGCTCGCCAGGGAGAGGACACCGCTGGGGTCAGGGCACAGTCTTCGCGCCCCCATGTCACTGTCACCGCCCCACCCACCCGGCGTGAAGGGTCAGTCACTGATGACAGATAAACGACAACATGGAAGTCCACATACACAGTTAACCCATTTTTGACACATTCATTCCTTTTTCAATAAAATTCATTTTAAATTATACCAAAAGGTGACACAGTCTCCTTCCCTTACACATCCATTGCTGATATGTTTTCTGAGGCCAGGCAGAAGGATCCAGAGTCACCGTGTCACACAATGGCCTGAGAGCTGACACCCAACAGACTTGCTCCCGAACTCTGAAAGGTTTCTGAAAGTCATTATTGCCCTGAATTCAGAACCCAACTACCCCTCCTTCAGAATCGCTGTAAACGTTTCCCATGATCCACCGCCGAGCGCCCTCGGTTCTGAGGGACCCCCGGCCTCTGAGGGCACACTCCCTCTGTTCCCTGCGGACTGAGGGCTCCCCGGCAGAGGCAGACCCGCACCTGCGGGGGCCTTCGGCTCCCAGCCCCAGGACCCGAAGCCGGTTCTGAAGCGCACAGAAGAAGTGCCTGGCTGGCCCCGCCCCCGAGCAGTGCGCAGCAGAGACACACGAAACCAGCAGGGACTGTTTACAGGTGGAATATGGCCACACTGGGACGATCGGTTACCCAACACAGGTAAGTCCCATCTTGGCAAGTTGAAGATATGTTTGATATCAGACGTAAAAATCCAAGTGCTAAGCAGGAATCACCTCAAGTTCCAGGTTCATAGATACCAAAATGAGTGTGTAGCAAAGAAAAAACTCTCTCTTCTTCAGTAGTTTTGCGTGTGGACAATGTGACAGCAGTGGGGGCACTCGGCAGGGGAGGGAGGCGACCCTGGGCCTGAGAAAGATCACGACTCCTATTAGGAGCATCTCGGCGTCCGGGGTCGCCCCAGCAGTGGGAGACCCCGGAAAGGAGTGAGCCCACCCTCTGCTCCTCGTCCTTCTCCAAAAGGCTCCACTTCAAGGGCTGCAGACGCCCGGTGTGCACTTGCGCAAGGCCCTGTCCGGGCCGGGACGCCCCCGCCCCGGGTGTCAGAGGCCGTCGCTGTTCCTGGGGCAGAGGGGCGGCTTGGAGAGCTCCACGACGCCCAGCCGGGGCTTGTGGAGGAACTTCGGGGCGCGCCGCAGCACCCGCTGGGCCTCCGAGAACGTTTCTGTCAGCTCCTTCTTCCACTGCACAAACTCGGGGTCGCTCTAAATGGAAACACAGAGAGGGCGTGACAGCACCCGCACTGTGCCAAGACACGCGGACGCTGCTGGGAGTGACCAGTGGCCTCAGGCCCCCCACGAAAGCATACTCGGCTCCTCTGCCTCCCCACCCCCAAGGCGTATCAGTGGGGGGGGTCCCTGCGGGGGAGGGAACGGCATCCATGCCCAGCAGACAATCCTCGTACAACCCCACCGAGACCGCTGCCTCCGACGGTTCAGGGATCACCCGCGTTCTCTGGTTTCCAACACAACTCAAGTCGGAACAACTGCAACTGAGTTGTGGCAAATTTAACACATCTTCACCGGTAGTAATGAGGTCATGACACATTTTTGCACCTATGAGTGATCACTTTGGCATCTTAGGTTTATTTAAATAGACCAGCCTGCAACGCAGACATGCTGAAAGATCTGGAACATTATGTAACAAATAAAATTCTAGGCCCTTATTAATAACTGGGCAGAGTTTCCAGATAGGGTAATCAAATTAATTCATATACTTCCTCTTCTCATGTGCTCACATCTGCTTCTCTTAAAATAATTTAATTTGCTGAAAACTCTGTACCAAGGGCTTTCTTGCTAAGTTTTAAATGACAAAGCATGGGGTAAGGAAATGTTTTAGAACCACGCGGCCATCGTTCCTGAAGGCAGATAGATGGTGAGATAAATATTGTTCTAAATCGCACCTATAGAAAATAATTAAAACTCACCTCACATTGCAAGACAAACTGCTTCCCTCCTTTTATCCTTAACAAAATGCATTTTTTGTCTTTAATCTGAGTTTCTTCCACAGACAGAATCTGTTCCATTGTCAGCAAATTTTGCTAATCATAAAAATAAAAAGCGTCCATTACTTCAAATCATTCAAGATTTAAGTCAAATCGGTGCAAAATACTGAAAACTTCCAACTTAGGAAAAGTAAACGAAAAAAACCTGGCATTTTTCTTTTTTTGATGACGTTCTACAAGTGGGTGAGAGGCTAGCGACGGGCGCATGTGAGGGTTCGGACGGTAGCAGCACAACAGAAATCCCCTGCGAGGGACGGGGCATCTGTGGGGGGGGGCGTCTGTGGGGTGGGGGGCGTCTGTGGGGGGCGTCTGTGGGGGGGCGTCTGTGGGGGGCGTCTGTGGGGGGGGCGTCTGTGGGGGGGCGTCTGTGGGGGGGCGTCTGTGGGGGGGGCGTCTGTGGGGGTGTCTGTGGGGGGCGTCTGTGGGGGGGGCGTCTGTGGGGGGCCGGCAGCACACAGCTGCGCCCTGCACACGGGCCGGGGTCTGAGTGGCCGTGAACCACCGATTTCCGCATCACACGCGCATCTCGATTCTGCCAGCGAGTGGCGAGGGGCAGGCAGTGCTCGCGTGACTCACGGGAGCCGGGGGCCTGCTGCGAGGCTGCGGTGCCACAGTGGCCCAGAAAACGCCCGGCCGGGCCGGCGCGCCAGCTCCCGCTGCTTCGAGGACGTCAGAGCGATGTAGGAAAGACAGGCGACATCCTTAGCAGACTGTCGCACGCGGTCTAGTGCTTGAGGGGAGCGCTGCGGTGTCCCGAGCACCTCACCACCTCGCGTGTTTTGGGTAAATGCTCCAGGAATCCCAAACGGAGGCACCACCGTCGTCAACGCTCACGTCTGCTCCTTTCTCACTGACACCTACCAACCCGCCCGCACGTGTTACGTAGCTTCCCACACAGAACACTGGACTTCGACTCTGTTAGAACTAAGTACTTACTGCACCTGATGTTAAGCAAAGGAATATTTTTATTTAGTTCTCAAATATCCTGAAAAGTGGGGCAATTTCTGGTCAAAGTACACGGCAGTGCCTAGTGCACCCAGGGCCCTCATTGTCCAGAATTACACATAATGGTAATGATGGCAATAATAATAAACTGTATATGAACCGTAACTCAGGGGCTGCGTGCACACCGAGCTGTATGCACTCAGCACCTGAGTTACGGCCCAGGCAACTGAACAGGGTCTGGGTTTCCTCCTCCCCCGCTGCTGACCGCTGGAGGACGGATGGGCGCTGCTGGGGCAGTCAACATGCCGGCCGTGCTTTTAACGTTGGGAACCAGCGGCAGAGACATGCTCCCCATGGCGACCAGCCCTGGGCTCCTCGCCCAGTGGGCGCCTAATGAAGGCTGCCTGGCCTGCTAGAAGGGCCAGCGTGAACCGAGAACTGCTTTTTATCCTGCTCGTAAACATCATCAGCTTACGCAAGGACCGCACAGAGCAGCTGTACCTTGCGGTCTGTTGTCAACAACCCACCTACGCACGTCCGACAAGGCAGGGACAAAGGTGGTTTGGTTTGGTGACTCTCCTTAGGGCCAAGCACCGCCTCCCTCAGGTCGTGTGTCCCCTGCTGCGGGAGGCCAGCTGTGCAGGGGAGACAGACGCTGAGTGCATAGGCGGGTCCCAGGCAGATCGCCCTGCATGGGACCGTCCGGCTGTGTCTCGGGCGCCAGACCTTCCCTCTCTACGCCCCAGCTTCTCCCTCCTAAAATATGAGTTGGACCCCCCCAAAGGCTGCTGCATATTAAATGGCTTTTTTAACAGCACCTCACTGAAGGTGAATCTGCAAAAGAGTGTAATGGCTGTTATGTTTTCTATTTCTCCCACTTTACAGATGAGGAAACTGAGGCTCAGGGAGTCAGTGTAACGGCCTCCGAGTCCCCGAGCTACCCAGCAATGGATTTAAACACCTCCGTTTGACTAAAGTCCTAGGCATTTTCTCTCTCTGTGGACCTCCCCAACCGTTCCCCACCTTCTTCTGACCGGTCTGCTTCAGACCTCGCTGAACGACACGTTCTATCTGCGGACACCACAGAAACCCTCCTGGACTCAGAAGTCCAAAAGTCACCGTCTGAATGGCAAACTCTCACGCACACAAGTCAAAACCGATGCACGGAGCTTAGAGGATATTTTTCAGAACATGCCAGCAATGCAAAATAACCATACAGCATCCATTATAATGGCAGTAAGGGCCTGGTGACAAGCAGGAGACTTACCCGCGACTCACCCTCTCCTCTCCATTCAAGCCTGTTTGGAAAGAGGTAAAAATATCGGCGCTGCCACTGTGTCAGGAACGGGTTCCCCAGTTTCAGCATGTACCCGTGCATAATGCAGTCTCTCCCCAGAGCGTAATCTGTGGAACAGAAAACATCCACTAGTTAAATAGGGTCTGAAACCAATGCCTGTATTAGTCGTAGGAAAGAAAAAAAAAAAAAAGAATTACAGCCTTTCTGGAAAAGTCAAATTTCTAGCAATATGCATTACAGAAACCATTCTTCCTTGCAAAAATTTGTACATTAAATTTACTGGGGTAACACTGGTTGATAACATCACATGCCTTTCAATTTCCTGACCAACTCACGATGGCCACTTACTGCTCTGAGCGGGCAAGTCTGTTCTGAAACTACTTTTTCTGTGTGTGTAGCTCATGAGCACTGAAGAACAGGGAGTAATCGGATTCACACCATGCCCCAAGTACCTCTGCCTCTACGTGGGGCTGGGGTCTCCCTTTAATCTACCTTTTTTCCCTAAATAATAACGGTGTGGGAATTTGCATGTCCAACTAACCCAAAGTAACACAAGGATCAAAACAGTTTGTTCCTTGACTTAAAGTTGTATTTATCTCTCAAACAGATGGCTAGGGACAGAGACCAAGTTAATGTATACTCATGTTGAGTCCTTTTTATAGTGATGTATTGTCTCTCAAAAAAAAAAAAGGGGAAGTTCACGTCAAGTGGTTTGTTCAGCCTTCCTTAAAAGCCTGGATGATTGTGCTAAAACCCCTCATTCACTCTCATTCACCCAACAGAACGTGAGCAGTGAAGTGCTGAGCGTGTGCTCCAGCCGCTGTGCACTCAGCAGTGAGCAAGGGCGAGGCTACTCCCCCTCAGGGAGCTTCCCCTCTGGCGGGAGATGGACCTGCAGGATGGGCACGCAGGCCACGCCCACACTGTGTCTGGCCACGCCCACACTGTGTCCCGAGGATGCAAGCAGGTGGGCGAGGACACGGGAGGGCGCACTGGGGAGGGGCAGCGCAGACGCCACGCGATCAAGGGAAAAGTGTCTGCACTTGTAAAGTGTATTTAAAGTCTAAGTCTTGCATCTTTACTGCAGAGATCTAAGCCGAGACTACTGTGTTCTGTGAAGGTGACTCCTGAGATCTTCATCCGAGACCTGGTTATGCCCAAATTAATTCCTTACACATGAAGATAAACTCATTAATTTGTCAGGCATTCTAATTATGGCTTTAATTAAAAGGAAACACTTCAGCAAGGTCACTGAGGGTACACTTTTTTTTTTGTCTCCTTTGTCTAGAGTCTGGTGCCACCGCAGCCCTCCCTGGAGCAGATGACCCCCGACAGAACGTCATTGGTTCTGGGTGAAATCTGCTACAGCAAACGCTGTCCAGAGTGACCTCAATGGACCTTGTCTCTACAGAAGAGCTTCGAGGTGAAGCCCCTTTTCCTGGAGAACGGCGGTGGACACAGGTGAAGGGCTGGACTGGCCCCCTGGTGCACTCAGGGGGGCTTGTGTGCAAGGGGCGACTCAGCGAGGACCAAGGGTACTTCTCTGGGCAGGTGACAAATGCTGCTGGAAAATGCTGGGCAAGACGCATGAGGCCTCACCTCGGTGTCCCCACGCCCCCACCAAAGTCACCACAATGTGAAACTGTCTCAGGTCGTCTGTTACGCAAAGTGAACCTCAAGAGGTCTTTGCTAAGAGGCAAAACAAAAGCCTATCTTGCCATAATTATTGATCGCAATGCAATCCAATCAAACATCCAAAAGCCATGAAATCTTAGAAAAATCAAAGAGAGACAATATTTAGGGAGTCAGGAATGAATGATCTATTTAATATTCGATGTTATATATTCTATTTTGAAAATCGTGATAGGGTACTCGACTATTGTAAATACAAATAGGAGTTGGCATCTCTTAATGCTGTTTGTAATATAAGTGTGCTAACACATGTGTATCTCTTCACAGGTGACAAGCAACGCTAAGTCTCTCACCAGGACTTGGCCACATGTTTTGCAAGGCCAAGCAAAAAATGAAAATTCGGGCCTCTTGTTCCAAAATGATGACGCACAGCAAGGCAGCGGCAGCAGAGCCTTCGGCGGAGTGGGTGCACCAGCCCCACGCCCAGGACGCTGGCCCTGTCCCTGCCACACTGACCCTTCCGGGAAAACCTCCCGAGGAGCTCCCAGCGCTCCGGGAGAACACACTGACCACACTGCTGCCCGTCTACACGCGTTTTCATTTACATGTTGCCTGCAGCCTTTGAAACATCATACTGAACCCTTCCAAGACAGAACTAAAACAGTTCGTGACATTTCCCCTCTCCATCGGGCAGCACTCTCTAACCCGAATACCTCCTCAGCTTTACAAGACATTTGGAAAACCCACTGCCTTAGGAGCATCTTGAGAGACATTAGCTGTTTTACCTTCTTCATGGCCAAGTTGCTTATTTTTAGCTCTCTTCCTGGCCTCGATTTTATCTGTGTCTGTGTTCACTGCTTCAAAAATGGTCTCTACCACCTCCTGCTGCCAGCGCTCGGAGATCACCAGAGGGAAGTTCTTGTAGAGTTCCTGGTCGCAGTCCAGAAGCTGTGTGTTGAAGGACATCGAGGCATGTATGAGTTACCACACTCACAGAGGCGAGAGAGTTAGAAGTCCCCCAACTGGAGGCGGGAACAAAACACGACCATGGCATGTAATCGCTCAGAACATTTGATTAATTGTGACAAGTCTCTGCTCATGACAGCCAAGCCACCAGGACCCACAAATGGCCGTGACGGGTGCGCAACTGCACCCTCGCTCCCCCCGGGTCAGTTAGATCCACCGATTTTCTCAATGACCTTCATTACAGTTTGCTGACGAAAGCTCACACACACAGGGTTTTAGCTGAAGGACTACAAGGTTTTGACAACAAAATAAGGGTGAGAGGTACAAACTGTGACCCAGTCTTGACTGTACCTAAAATGCAGACAACAATATTCTATGTAATAGATAATAAATCCTTCTCTGACGTAAGACCCCAGGAAAACAATAAAGGCCTGTCTAGGCAAGGGTCTGGGCTCCCCTCTGGAGGGAGTGGCCGAGGCATCCACAGACACTCTCCCCTTGAGAGAGTAGCCATGCTGTTCTCTTTTCCTCCACAGGATTGCTGTCGCCTGTGCATTCATTCTCATCATCAGCCACAACAGGTGGACGCTGCTGGACAGAGTCTGCGACACAGAATCTAAGTGGGGCCGAATCTGCCTTCCACTCCATGAACCTCCCAGTGGGTCCGAGTTCAACCAGGTCATCAAACGTGTGAGCAGAAAGCTCAAGGTGCGTGTGGCGAGTTTAGGCGACTTTATATTTTGCTGTGTGTGATGCACACAGAAAACCGCGGTGCACACTATACACGGGGTCATTATGATGAGCATCTTTACCTGTCCCTCAAATATCTGGGCGAAGAAGTGCGCATCAGACACAGCAAGGCACGGCAGCCTTCCCGAGGAGCTGCAACACAACTGCACCGAGCGGCCGTTTCTCCTCCACACTCCGACTCAGACCGCCTCATCCCCCCCAAGTGAGGCTGCGCTATGAATGCGAGTGAAGAAAACGGCTTGTGTGTCGGGGCCGCAGCTTTGTGACAGAAAGGCCAGTGATCCCCTGAGAGAAACCAACACGCGTCCTTCCAAAGTACGAGTCCCGCCATGAACCTGTGCTCACTCCTCTGCCAGAGAGGTGAGTACAGACGGTCTTGGACCTACCTAAGATGGTCGGACTTAACGAATTTTTGACTTTATGTCGATGTGAAAGTGATGCACATTCAATAAGAGCATGTTTCACATTTTGAATTTTGGCCTCTTGCAGACCGAGGGGTATGCGGTACGACACTCTATGACGCTGGGCAGCGCAGAGAGATGCTTCTGCCCAGCCACGCTGAGGTGGGCCGGGCCAAGCTATGAAGCTCCGCAGGCTGGGTGTGTTAAGTGTGTCTCCCACTGACGGCACCTTCCACTCACCACTGGGTTTACAGGGACGGAACGCAGCACGGCCGAGGAACAGCGATGTTGGACCGATACTACAACAGGCGAGTTGTTCATAGGAGGAGGAGACAGCTCGAGCATGGGTGCAGCACCACCCACAAGCCTGGGGCCGACCGATGCCACACCAGGAGAATGGGTGCCTCGGGCCGACCTGGGGTGTCCCCACCTGCTCTCCCTGCCCGCTGCAACCATGTGCTGACTTCGGGGGCACTTGGATTCACAGGGCTTTCCTCTCAGGTTTCTCCGGATGCCCAGACCCGGCCCTGAGCTGAAAGGCTCAGCTGTTCTGAGAGCGAACACTTAGGGTATGTACCTGTGTGTGTGCGCGCGCGTGAGTGTGTGTCAGGCTGTCAGAACCCCAAGGCTGGAAGAGCACCTTGGGCTCAGGGACACTGGGACAGACTCTGGAGAGTGTGGCAGAAGTGAAAGCGCTCCTCTCCGAAGCAGCTGCTCCGAAATGGCCAGCTCTGCCGTATGTACGAGCCCACGCCGCCTGCCACGATTCAGAGAACCCTGATCTGTGTGACCGGCCCTGTGCTATTAAAAACAACTAAAACAAGGAAGAACAACTCTCTTTATTTGGGAGCTTTTACAAAAAGTATCTACCATCTGGGCTGCTTTCTAAGGATAAAGAGCAGATAGTTTCTTCAAATGCAGCCCAGGACCAGGCCTCCCGGAGCCCATGCTTGGGTCCCTGCTGCAGCCCAGCTGCTCGCCACTTCCGGCTGCAAAGCACCGAACCACAGAGACAAGAGCAACTGGTGTGGGCACTTTAATGTGCCAGGAGGCTTCAACAGGTTATGCTGTTTATGCTCAGAGACCCTTGGCAATGAAAGCTCACGAGGCTACAAAAATGGCCCCCATTTGCTCGGCTAACGAGTACGGACTCAGCCCAGTCTGTGTGGCTGCAAAGCCCAGGTTATGGTTTTACGAAGTTTCCAGTATGAGAATCTTGTTAACCTCACGATGTTCGTGGTGGCCCGCCACCCTGTGAGAGTCATTTTATGGATGGAAGGTAGTGTGTCTGATGGCACAATTCCGCCGTGACAGCAGAAGGCCTTCTGGATAACTTCGTGAGTGGGGAGTTCTCCAAAGCCCTGCTGTGGGCTGGCACCCACACCCCGACTGGCCCTGCCTCTCCAGGACACAAAGGATGCCTAGCGGTGCCCATGCCAGGTCCCCGTCCCACAGCTGTCCCCCGACGGAGCCACTACTCCAGACCACAGAGGTGGCCTTGACCTTCTCCACATCCCCCTCCCCCAACGCCCCACTCCTGGGAAGCTGGTCCTACGAACGCCCCACTCGCCTTTATAACTCGGCCCCTCCTCTCCCAGCCCCGACTGCCACCCCCTCCCGAGGTCCCGCTGCGCGTGGCCTCCTCCTGCCGCTCTCACTGGCTGCTCGCCTTCCCGGCAGCCTCCTCGTCTCCTCCAGCACGTGCCCACCCCATCTGCACCCATGTCCTGCTTGGCTCCGGTCTGTGCATCACTAGTCACAGCCCCTGCGAGGCCCTGGCGTTCCTCTTGTCAGTTGCTACCTGCACTTTGCTGGTGTGTTTGTGACCGTTAATAGCACTGCAGCCTTCTGGAGGCAGGGCTACTTGGTAGGGAGAATCAAAATTTCGGGGGCTTAGATAACAAGGCTATAAATGCAGGCAGCTGAGGGGAGACCGGAAGCACCCAGGATGGCGTGGGGAGAGCCTGGGGTGGAGGTGAAAGTGGGGCAGAGGGCATGACCTGCAGTGACACCTGTAGTGACACCTTCAGACCCCACTCCATGGGACTTTGCAGCCCACGGAGGGTGACGTTCTCTCATGACTCACCATCTCTAATTAGAACTTGTCTGCTTAGGAAAATAATAGTAATATGAACAAAAGTTTGAAAATGCAGAGGGTTATATTAAAAAACAGTGATTATTCCACTTCTGACTGACAAATGCAACGTGGTTCACGCGGTCTGCGCCCTTCGTCCCGACGCAGAGGGATGGAAACGCTCAGGAGTGGCACGGCTGGGTCTCGGGCAGGAGAAGGAGTGTGCTTGCTGCACACGTCTGTTTTCTCTCCTGCCTCCTACACATTCAAGTTCTACTTCAACCACAAATACATGCGAATCAGTAAAAACCTGACCATGTTGCAGTTTATCAAACATAACGTTATTAGCCCCCGCAAAAGCTTTCTGAGTTTCTAAGTCCTTGATTTCTACATTCTTCAAATGTGCAGTGTTCATTTGTAAGTTACAGCCCACAAATGGGCCAATCCTCAAACAACCAGTTTGAGTTCTACTGAAAGATAAATCCCCCTCACTTCCAGACAACTGAAAGCAAACGTCATGCGTGTACCTTGATGCCCTTGGTGTCCTCTTCATCAAAGGAGCCGATGTCAAAGGCGTCAGCAGCGTTGACTTCTCCCCGAGGAGGAATCAAGGGTGGAGGGTACTGGGAGGCCCAGAGAATGAGGTTCGGTTACCAGGTGACCCCAGGCCCCACCCACCGCAGCACGCAGAGAAGGCAGCGGGAGACACAGCACGCTTCCCTCTGCAGCACCGCGGCGAGGCCCACGCAAAGCACGCTACCTGCTCCACAGGTGAGCTTCTGTACTCCGTGGCCCCAAAGACCTCAGATTTTAGATAAATTTAAGAAAAAAAAAAAAAGACTCACATCCAAAGTCTTGAATAATTATTAAGTGTAATAGAGGCTCAAGACCACACACCCTCCCGGCTCAACTTTAAGGGTGCACCTTTCCCCAGGTGATGCGGGACCAGGTTCGCCTGCCAGGGCCTTCAAGTTCAGCAGGGCAGCCAGAGCACGTCACATCCACCCAGGCCCCGAGGCTGACGCTGACCGAACCAAAGCTTGGCCTCTTGCTCTGATCAGGCAGGACTAACGGACCACTACTCCTCCACAGTCTCAGTTCATGCAAAAACCAGCCCAAAGCTGATAATCAACATTAAAAAAAAAAAAAGCAACCCACCTTAAGCTTGGGGTGTGTTCCTTATCAAGGAGAATATAGAAGTATCTTAAAATAGGGAATGGGAACTATGCTGATGTGCTATCATGTGAATTCTTACATTGGGTGGTACTGGGCTGGAAAGTGTGTATGAGTTTACAACAAAGGTTCCTATACATTTTTACATTGAAAAATAGAAAAGTACAGTCACATACTGAGATAAGAAGTCAAAAGGATGAGGTAAAGCTAAAAAAAACCCTCAATTATATGGACATTTGAATGAGCTAGATAACAGCTCCATCTCACCGTTTATTAATTTATACAGAACGTATTTTCAAAATGTTTATTTAAACTTGGGAAATGGAGAGGCAGCAGTTAGTGGCCCCCACGGTGGTCCGCCACCTGGCCACACCTGGACAGGAGAGCAAGAAGGACACTATGGATGGAAAGCGGGGCAGGGAGCTGGGGGACCCTGGGGACAAACCCGGGAGCGTGGCGGTGCCGGGGGTGGCGGTGGGGTCCCACAGGCAGTACCTTCTGTAAGTAGACGTGCTGCCAGTCGACGCCTTTGAAGAAGCTGTGCTCCTTCACTTCCTCTGCTCTGTGGGGAAGAGAGGCACAGCAGTGGTGAGCGTGCATCTGGAAATCTCAGAAATGTTCTGCAAACATGGTTCACTGTTAGGAACACAGGGGAGCAACTACTTCTAGTTCCTTAAGAGAGAAAATAAAAAATACTTCCTTCAAAGCAACACAGGAAACACTGTGATGGATTTGTTTTTTTAATTTTATTTTATTTTTCCTTTTGACTTTAGAATGGGTAGGGAGAAAGAAAGAGGGAGAGAAACAGCCACCAGTTGCCTTTTGTATAAGCCCGCAGCCTGGGCATGTGCCCTGACGGTGAATCGAACCAGTGACCTTTTGGTTTGCTGGACGATGCTCAGCCCTCTGAGCCGCACTGGCCAGAACCACTGTGACATTTAGAAATGCTGCATGTCGAAGCTGGGAACACGATCCCACACGAGAATTTATTTGGAACATTTATCCCAGTGTGGGAGTCTTCACAGATTATATATGTATTTATTTATTTTTCTGTAACCATGAGAACAAATGTAAATGAGAATTAAGGAGATTTAGACATTAGAGAGATTTATAGCAATGCCTTAGAGTTAGCATAGATAAAATGATAGAAATATGAAGCACCAAATATTTATTTGTTCAATTTATTCAAATCAAATTATGAATCTGAAAGAACCGTGCGTGCCGTGCTCAGGAGAGCCGCAGTGTCTTTCCTCCTGGAGGGGATGCAGCACACACGTCCCTGAGGAACTTAGGGCTCAGGACCAGGCGTGGCAGAAACTACGTAATGAGCACACTTACGTTGCCTTGTAGTGTAAAAACTACTTCTTCATTTGCAACTTTTGAAACCAGGTGATATGCAAAGCATAAAGACTGATAGTGATTACAGAATACGGAGTAAACAATATCAAGTTGACAACGTAAAAATCAAAATTAAGAATGACAAGCCCTGCCCAGGCTGGTGTGGATCAGTGGATTGAGCGCAGGCCTGCGAACCAAACAACTGCGGTTCAGTTCCCAGTCAGGGCACATTCCTGGGTTGCAGGCCAGTTCCTAGCAGGTGATGCATGAGAGAGGCAACCACACACTGATGTTTCTCTCCCTCTCTTTCTCCCACCCTTCCCCTCTGTCTAAAAATAAACAGATAAATCTTATAACAAACAAGAAAACCAAAATTAACAATGACAGAAACTAGTCAGTGGGAGAGAAGACGACAAAGAAACACAAGAATGGTAAAACCTTAGTTTTATAAAGTGGGGACTCAAGAGACACCATTTGTCAACTGATGGAACGAGGCACCACTGGGTGAGCTGTGACTCGAAGTTACACAGGTTAGGCACGAAAGGCACCAAAAACAGTGTTTCAATTATTCTGAGAAGGTGGCAGAAAGGGAAGGCTGTGTACAGGGTAGGGCGGGAGCCACACTGTCACCTATTACGGTAGATGTATCTTATACAGGGAGCTACATAGGTAGCTGTATAATGTACATACAGTATGTATACATACACATATGCTACTGTAAAATACACACACACACACAGGACACACATACATAATGTGGTTAAAAGCTGTTCCTTATGCAGAGCGGGCCTGGGGGTGGGGAGGAACACGGGAAAGGTCTGTGTTAAGTCTTCTATGAGCTTCCAGATATTCCTAGTTCTTTTCCCTGTTTTTTTTTTTGGGGGGGGTAGAGTTGGGGGGAGGGCAGGGGACGGGCAGAAAGCATGTGTAAGGTGGTAGTCACGCAGCAGAGAAAACACACGAGAACCTGGTCAGGACTGCCACAGGTGCAGGCGCAATCGTCACGAGCCGGTGCTGACCAGCACTAAAACCGAACCAAACCAAACCAAGCACTTAACGTCAGAGTCCGTTTGATCGATCTTTAAAGTTAACAAGTTAGTGACTCCTTCAACTCGTCAATTACAAAGCACATGAAACGATACATGTATCTCTTGTGCGATGTCCACCCCCCCTGGAACTGAAAGGGACGACGAGGAAGGACTTGTGACACACAGAAAGGGACCGTTTGGCTTCCCAGGCCGAGACGCCCACAGGCAGAAGTGCCAGCCTACCCGCCTCCGTGGCAGCCGAGCCGCTTGCTAACTTCCCGCTGCAGCAGGCCCTCCAGCAGGGACCTCAGTTCCGGGGAGAAGGTGTCCGGGAGCTCCACGTTCTGGGGGGAAGAGAACAGAGTTTCAAACGTGCGCTCATCATGGGAACGGCGCCTGTGCTGCCAACCGCGCTGAAAAGGCCATTTCTGGAATGAGGATCGTGCCAAAATGACAGATGCATCACAAATTAATACTTCCTCTTAAGAAACGACATGGTTACTAATCACTTTCAAAGTCAATGCACAGGCTGGGGCAGGCGAGGAAAAGAATCAGGCCTCCTCACTCGGTGTCTCTGTGTGTTTCCTTTTTGTTTGATTTCCTCAGCCTTGTTCTTGATTTTTTGCACCTTTTTCTTACTGATTGTCAGCACGCCTTGATTTCTGCCTCAGCATCTATTTCCATTATTATTATTTTTCCAGGTTCTTTTAGGAACTGTGCCTTCAGTTACGTATTTTAAGAGAGCAAAATTTTACACTGGTCCTAACGGGAACGTGCCATTGAATAAAAATAAGAGTTTCTGAGACCCTTACCACGGTGAGCGTCATCCGGTCTATTTCGTGCTTGTCCTTGGTTTTATGTTGTCTGAAAGGGCTGTGCCTGCAGAAATGAAAGACACTCAGCACCTGTCGCGGAATAACCTTGGGCACAGAACTGTGTTCTGTCACCCTTCCTTCAACACTGCAGAAACACGAAGCCCCCCAGATCTGTCATTCGCAGACCACAAAGTGGCGGCCAGACACGGCAGGCCCAGGAAGAGCCAGGCGTGCGTGCCCGTCAGAACTGCCCGATCGCCTCGGCACTAAAGCGCGCTTCAGCAAACGCGTTCCAGCCGATAACCCGAAATGCCGTTAGAGAAGTTAACTAGCCAACAGGTAGTTATGAGACGGAAGCTATTTACACAACAGTGGTCACCTAAGTATCTGAGATAAGTTTCATATGATTTTTTTTTTTTTTTAGAAAAATGGTTATTAGTCCCTCAAACAACCCAAGGAACTGCAGTCAAACCACAACGTGACCGAGAGGGAACCAGCGATCGCAGGCACCACCTTCCTCTGGCGACAACAGAGACGCACGAAGACTTCCGAGGCTGCTCTCTCGTGTTTCACTCCGGGAGACCCGGTCCTATTCCTCAGCCAACCTGGGTTGGAGCTGTGACTTGGCAGTTCACTCGGCTGTGTGCCAGTCACGTAAACCTTAGGATCGATTTCTTCACCTGAGGACGAGCACCATGCCACGGGTTTCACAGAGATGGCGAAGGGGACGCCGGAAATGACATCTGTGCTAGTCGTGAAGACAGGGGCAGCAAAGAGTGGGTGCCCCACATGGAAACTGAAATTACTGAAGATGAATCTTACTTTATAAAGTGAGTGTCTGCTCGGTACACTCTGCAAAACAAATTATTCTTACTCTTTCCCATGGTTTTAAAACTCTGGAGAAGCTGGTTTTTAAAGGAAATCTTAGCACTAAGAGAGAGTAGTTAACATGCAAATTGGAAGACCATGGCCTTACTTACTTGAAAATTAAATAGTGAGACATTAAATCTTATAATGAGACATGCTTGTAAAATTAGTAATCCTAGATACAGACTTATTTATAAGGCACACGTAACATAACCTGTGGTGAGTTTTATGTGAAATATGTTAAAGGTAACTATATAAAAGGGATTAGAATGTTGAACACACAAATCAATGGAATTTAGAAAAACACTAAAATTCCACTTATCTGTGCGTTGCCACTTATTGTGACTGATCGGGCCACCCTACTGAATTATTGTTATGCACTGAACCCTCTCTTGACGAGATTATTATACTTGAGAGCATTTATCACTTAAATATTTTAATTTTCATTTTGTACAAGAGAGGGCGCTCTTACACTTAACTTTCTTTCTTACCATGCAGTGGAATACAAAGTAATTTCCACCTCTTGAAAGCACTAATTTGGAAAAAAACAAAATCTAAACAAGGAGAATTAGTACCAAGCAAACACAGGCTAATCTTTGAGACTGATTTTGATCGGAAATGCTCTTTTCAACCGAATTGCTTCCGAGGAAAAAAAGGTAAGATTACTGCATTTGAAAAGCAAGTAGAATATAAGATCGAACAACATTGATTTGTTATTTATAAGATACCAGAATGTTTAAAAGAAAAAGTAGCATCATTCTTTTATGCAAAAACACAGAGATAGTAACACGTCCATGGGTCCAGAGAAAAGGAAGTGTATTATCAAATCTTAGTACAACTCTGGCCTTCCTGCTTGACACGGCTCTTTCCACCGAGTTCCCGAACGTATGGAGGGACCCTGTGACGTCTCTGCATTTCTGTGAACCCTGCGGCGTGTCTCCCGGCTGCAGGGCTGGAGGACCCCACTCGGGCTCCCGACCCCGCGTCACCTGCACCTGATGCCAGAGGAAAGGGCTGCGCCCTGACACTCAAGGAGAAGGGCGGCTGTGTTCTGACAGGGACGCCCCGTGCTGAATTTAAAACACCTTCCATGCGGCCAGAGGGAGGCTTGCGAGGGAGCCGGAGTCAGAGCTAGTGAGCAAGCACCCCCGTCTAGCGCATGGGCCCTGCCGCCCCCACTCCCACGTTACAGCAGCCCTGCCCGTCCACACGAGAAGGGACAGTCTGAAAGGCGTGTCAGCTCCCCAGTTCTGTGCTGTGGCGTCGAGAAAGTCCAGGCTTTCCAGTGAAGTCCGGATGCACATCTGTTTCCAATGTGTTCTTGATTCTTTCTTGTGAACAAGACCAAAGATTCGGTTTCTATTTCGGAAAATGTTAAAGAAAACCTCCAATGGCGGTCCTCTCCACTCGGAGTGAGCACACGGTGCTGACAGATCCTGCGTGATCGCAGCTGCTCCCTGACGCAGCCCCGGGCCGGCCAACGGCTTCCAGGGCGAGTCCGGGTCCCCCAGCGGCCCAGGCCCCATCCCGGCCACCCCAGGTGATGTTGTGGGCACACAGTTCACATGGCAGTGGTCAGATGTGGCTTTGGAATTACAGGCAGAGTGGGAGAGCTGCAGAGTTCCCCCACACAGGCTGGGAAATCACTCAAAATATGATGAATGACGGGCACACATATATACATGCACACGCACTACGTTCACAGTGCAAAGAGTTCAAACGTTAACATCTTTACCATTGCCAGTGATTAAAACTTACATCAAAAATTAACTCCAGAATACCAAAAAGACTGTGTGTTACATGCATTTTGAGCTTCAGCCAATAGCTGTCAAAATATTTATAAACATTCCTTTTCTCTCTCTCTCTCCACAAGGACAAACCCCGTACGCTTGGGCAGGCCTCAGCTCTCCCCAGACCAGCCCTGGGCTCCCTCCTGGCGTCTGACGCCTCTGGGGAGGAAGAACCCGTCGGGACAAGCTAAAGATCAGACTACTGTCACGTCAATTCTCTCTTAAGAGACATCGTACCCAGACTGAGGATTGTGACAGCAATGCCACATCTGCCCTGTGGACACGTCATCAAACATGGAAGCTCCTAAGTATCCGACGCAGGCACCTCCAGTGGAGGCAGCGTCCAGCACCCACCGTGGCCTCTGAACGGCTCGGCCCAGCACGGTGAGTCCGGGCCTGCAGACAGGTTCTCGGGCCTGGATGACGCCCTTGCCCCCAGGTCCCTTCCCCTCCCGCCCTGAGGTCATCTTCCAGGGGTCAAGTCTTGAAGCAGCAAGGTACACTGGTGCATGCAGGAGGGATTCAGTCACAGAAAATGGAAGCGAACAAGACCCCTGGTGACCAGGGCTTCCCCCTGACTACACAGGTGTGGGAAGAGGGCACGGTCTGCTCCAGAGCAGTTTCCCCTCCTCGGTGCCGTTGACCTTTCGGGCACGTCAACAGGCACTGCCATGCGCCCCCGAGGTGGAGGACAAGCACTGAGCGGTGGCCGCACAGGGTGGGCTGCTCCCCGTGCCTGTGCCCGGGGCCCTGCCCCTGCTCTGCCTGCCTCAGTTTCCCAGGTCCCTCGTGCTGCGGTTCCCTCTCTGGGTGTGTGAAAGCTGAACAGGATGCCCCTTACATATTTCCGAGGTTTTCCCACTCGCCACCTCCTGAGAGGGCAGAACAGGTGACACTACCTTTCCATTTATGACCGAGGGGGGAGGGCCCTGAGTGTGGCCCCGCCTCCTGCAGACCCCATCCCAGCACTCTGCTTCTGAAGGGCCCGCAATAAGCATCAGCTTAGTAAGAACCGCTGACATTTCACAACCACTGGTTTTGGTAATGGTATCACCATCCTCCCAATCACTCAAATCCAAACAACCGGCTCCATCTCAAACTCCTTCCACACCCGAGCACCCATGGAAAATAGAACAAACAAAACCCCAAATCGCTGCAGCACCGTGGACCCTAAAACCACAGCATTGGTTTCCGGGCTCTCCCCAGTCCCGCCCCAACCTCCACACCTCCTCTCTCAGCACACCCTCCTGTCCGGACAAAGGCGACCGCTGCTCACAGGTCATGATGGGAAAGGCAGCCTGGTCCCCACTGTGCCCTCCCCATAGAAGCAGGTCCACTCCCACCCCACGTCTTCCCGTGGCCACCCTCTCTCCAAAGCCTAGGCCACAGTCATGTATGTCTGCATAAAGTCGCCCGCCCCACCCCCCGTCTGCACGGCCCCCACACACAGCCACCGTGTAAACCGCACAGCCCGCCTGGCTCCTGGTCCTGGTGTGTAAATCCATCTGCTCTTGTGCAAGGTCCTTAAGGACTGCCTGTGGCCTCCCTCCACCCCGCCCTCCCTCTTTCCCGCCCCGCCTTTCCCGACGGCATCCAGCCTGGCCCTGCCTACGGTAGGTACCCAATAAACGCTCACTCAATTCACTGTAAGTCAATCGAGTCAGAAAATGTCTCCCACTCTGTGGTTTCAGTGCCGTGTCCTTTCCGGCAAATGGCTGCTGAATGACAGAGTGGCATTCGATCATGAACCCGAGAGAGGAAGAGCCACCGAACCACGGGAAGGGCTCCTTCCCAGTCAGGCTGAGCAGAAGGACGACCACCAGACGAGTGACAGCCTGCTCTCAGTGAGGCAGGACCCGTCTTCATCAGGTGGCTCAACTGCTTGAAAGGCCACTCTGGTGTCTACCTGAAATCTGTCCCCACGCTCGAGGTGCCCGCCCTCTGGGGCTGCGCAGCACAGCTTCCGTCCCATCAGTACGATGGGTGTCCCAAGAGCTGGCGGTCCGTCAACCTTCCCCTGGGGGCCAGGATCTCCAGCCCTTTCTCTTCTTGTCCGTCCCAGCCCATCCTCATGAGCAACCTCGGGACATCCCCTGTCGGCCAAGGGCCGCGCTGACCGTGGTTCAACCAGGCCCGACACTAAGCACTTCTCAAAGGAACGACTACCTTGCAGGTCAGCGCTCCGAACGTGAATTATGGCCAAACGAGACCGAATTCACTTTGTTAACCACAAATCACAATGCTGGACTGTGTAGCTGTCACTCAACAAAAGCCTCAAATCTTTTAAAAGCACTGTTATGCCAGATCATCCCTGATATACACACATATATGCATATATATATACATATGTACACATATAAACGTGTGTGTGTGCACGCACGCACGTGGACATTATGATAAACAGAACAGCAATATTGAATATGGTAAATGCGTGCACAAAGCCCCAACCACTGGGCTCCCGTGGGCCTCCCCGCATCGTCTGACTGCAGGGGTTTGGACTGTGAATCCACATGTCCAACAGCTGAGCCGCTCCGCAGTCCACGTCACGCTCAACTTCCCGCAGGTGTGGGCTGTGTGTCTCCAGCCTCACCTCCAGCGGAGGAGACCCCGGCCACGACCCCGGCGAGTCTGCAGGCCTCCGCCCAGCACGCTCCGCTCCCCTGGCTGGAAGGATGTCTCGTGTGGAAGTGGCTTTCTCTGATTAGCCTCGAAGAAGCTCTCTAATTAGGTCAGCTAGTCTGATGACATGAATTCAGGCCGCTCAGACTCCACAGATAAAATAATTCAATTCAGGGCCCACGAGACCCGACTCTCTGGGCAGTAATGTGATTTCAGTTCCCAAGCGAGTGGGGCGAGCAGACCACCCCTGGACCCTGCGTCCTGGGAAGCAGCGAGGGTGCTCAGAGCCCAGTTGGGGGGCGAGAAGTCAGACCCGCCCTCTCTCCGGGATGTGCCGGCTACAGTGAGAAGGTGCAGCGGTGCTCAGCGAGGTTTTCCAGTGGAAAAACGACCAGTTTAGCAAACGCCAGCCTTGCGTGTTCGTAAGAGCAATCACCAGAGGGAAAACCTTGACTAGGAACTTTTACTGTAAAGTGCTTTTTTTGTCTCTTTGTGAAAGAAGGATGACCAAAACTACATTTGCAAGACTGAAGCTCTCTATTAAAATTGGCTAAAAATTCTTAAAATTAATGGAAATACTAACAAGTTTTAAATGTTCAATAGGAGAACGCATTTTGAGAGTGCTTTCATTTCCTCATCTTTCCAATGTACGTCACCGCTTTTGATAGTTTAGGACTAAGGGTCAGATATAACACAAATTAGGCACACAAAATTATACGATTTCATTTTTGTGTTTTTAAAAAAAACCATGCACCTTAAAATGGCTTCATTAGGGCCTTCACCCACTTTTGTAACCTCAAAATGCCCATAGCTCCTAAGACAATCATGAGTAATTAATTTCTAGGAAAAGAAAATCTGACATTCTTCAATTACCCACATTTTAAAATAATACTTATTCTCAAGTTGTGTCAATGGAAACATTTCAAAGCAGTCTCATTTTATTATTAATTAAAAAATCATTTTGAAGCAGTCTTATTTCACATTTAAGTATGCTGTAATTCCTATGTGGTATGGACCAGAAATACCAAACCGTAAGCTCTTGTCTGCAATCCTGGGCACAAAGCCCCGCCTTCCGTGCGGCAGAAAGAGCCACGTCCAGATCAGTGACTGGCTCAAAGACCTCTGCATGCCCCACAGTGACCCAAGTCCACGCCCCGCGATGGCCAGACAAGGACACGTCCCACTCACCCTCTGAGAAGCTTGAAGAGCATGCAGCCCAGGGAGAACCAGTCGGCGCTGCTGTCGTATGCCGTGCCCTTCTGCAGCACCTCGGGGGCCATGTACCCGTGGGTGCCCCTGGGGAGAAGAAGGGACGTGCGCATTATCAGAACGTGTCCACCCGGTACAACGTGAACAGCTCACCGTGAGGTCCTGGCACTGCTCTCTCCACGGCAAGCCAGGGACAGGGGGCTCAGAGCTCCCGCACAAACCTGAGTCATCCCACCCCCACTGGGGAAATGCCTTCTATCTTCATTAGTAGAGGAATTAATAATAAATTACCATGCAAAATAAACGTGAAGACTGGCCCACTGTCTAGGAGGTGAAATCTGACTCTCATTAGTCCCTTCCCCACGACAGCCACAGACAGCTAAAGGTCTGCTGCCCATCAAGAGTTCTCGTGAGGAGCCGTGTGGGTTTGGGGGAAACAAGGGGACGATGAACAGGCGACTGCACTGTAGTGCTGGGGACCCCCAGGGGTGGGGACACCCTCTCCTGTGGACCTGCACTCACAGGTGCTAAGGCAGAGCTACTTCCTTGGAGTCTGACAGAATCAGATTTTAATCCTGGCCCCACATGTGCCAGGTATGTGGCCTTGTTCAAATTCCTTAATTTTCCTGAACCTCAGTTTCCATACCCCAAAAAAGTGGACAAGGAGAGACACAACCTACATGGTCTCTGCGACAATAACAACCCATTCGAAGCAGCCAGCCGCGCATGCCTGGGCTGGCCAACGTCCATCCAAGGGCACGGAGAGTGCCATGGCTGCTGGCCCACCACCCCGCTCACAGGTCCCTGCCTGGACAGCTCCCCAGGCCGCCAGCTCCGGGGCAGGGATCCTTCCTGTCCTGGCCCCGCTGCACGGCCAGCACCTCGTGCATGGCCGAGGGTGAATAAATACTCGCTGCATTAATTAGACGACTTAGCACTCAGAACTGTCAAGTGAAGTAAATATCATCGTTCTCTCGTCTTCACAAGGGGGAAAAAATGAGGCTGGCAGAACTGCAAGGAGGATTCAAACCCAGATCTGCTGGCTCAGAAGCCTTCATCCTTAGTCATGGGCACGCCTTCCTGACTTAAAAACAGAGGAAGTCACTGCGTGTTCAGTCTTAAGCAGTGGCCTCAACATCATCATTTAAACATGAAAACCAATCTCCCCAATCCCGCCCCTGCACAGATGCTGCTCCACTACTGAGAACGGCCCACCTCCCGAGCTGACACGTGAGTTACAGCAAGGGTGGGGGAGGCTCTGTAGGGAAAGAAATAACCCACAGCTGAAAGTCAGTTCTGCAGGGAGATTAGCTCCTACGAGCCCTTGGATCCACGTGCAGCTGTGGCTTTCCTAAACGGAAGAAATCAGCACACCAAATAGCTGGGGCATTACAAATCCAAGGACCCTTAAAAATGCCTGATGAACCCCCTGGGAGCAGCTCATACAGCCACAGCCGGCACTTTAATAAATGGAGAGTCCTGTCCCAATGCTAATGCCTTTATCGCCACATCCCAGACCCTGCAGAGAGAGGGAAGCCTGTTTACAAAACGCCGCTGCCCGCTGTTAACATACGATTACAGCTTTCAGAGGTGCATATGATCTAACGCAGCCCTCGGAATGCACTGCAGTTCAGAGCATTTGGCTTTTGGGCCACAGAAAGCAGGGTCTGTGCTTTATCTCCTGCACGCGCAGGCAACACGCCTCCTGGGGCTTCTTCATGACCACGTGACACAGAGGTGCGTGTCAGCGCGAGAGAGACAATAACAGGTCATTTTAAAAGAATGATACATTTCAAAAGAAAACAGTACAGCAGAAGCTGTCTGCTTTCCCACAAACTGCACACCTGCCCCTGCTTTCCACCCCCACGAACTGATAACATGAACGAAATATTCTGTGTTGCACAGCCCGGGGACATTCCTGCTGTCGTCTTAACGACTCTAAATTCAAAGGGGCCTCGGGCCAGTGTCAGCACGCTCTGCTCTGAGTGAGCCCCGTCCCCACCGGACGCAGTTCAGGGTCTGCTGAGGGGCCAGGGCTGGCGGACGCTCCTCTGCATGGCCGTATCGGAGACCGACATGATTCTCAGATCTAATGGCCTGCATTAAAAGCTTGAATGGCAAGTAGATTGTTGGTTTGTTTTTTAATTAAAAAAGTATTCCTAATTTTTCTTCAGGGGAAAAAAGAGAAAAATGCTATTTTGAGAAGGAAGGAAAAAGCAGATGGAGGGAGAAACTTGACCTCCAGCCATCCTTGCAGAGGCCTCTACAAGCTGCCTCTGCACTCGGCACATCGACTTCCTCGTTTCTCCTCATCACAGCTGCCAGAGGTTTATCATGACACCTTCTGTACAGAAGACGACACCGAGGCCCAAGATGTTTGAAAATGCCTGACCCAGGGCCGCAGAGCCAGCGGGACCCAGGCCTGCTGCCAAGGCCGCTCTTTCCCACGGACCACCAGGTCCCCCTGTGGTTACCCAGGGTCGTCCATGCTCCACGGACTGTGAGAGAGAGCGCACGGCTCTCACCTCCGCTCCCACATCACAGGATATGGGCCCCTCCCTGACCCGGCACAATCACAGATGGAAATTACTGATGGCAAGAAAAAACTAGGGGATGGAGAGGAGCCAAGACCAGGTCAGGGTCTGAGGCAATAAACGTTAGAGAAACGAAGCGAAGAGGCGTCGACGAGCTACTCACACACTTGCGTGCGGCTTCTTTTTGGAAAAGTCACAGGCGAGACCGAGGTCTGATATCCGAACGTGTCCGTATTCGTCCAAGAGGATATTTGCTGGCTGAAGAGAAAGAGAAGGTGACCTCTGAGAGGCCCCCAAAAGCCACAGAGCCTCTGGGAACTTCTAAAACTATGGGCACTTGGTATCTCATTATTTTATTAGGTTTCCTCCTAAATACGAACTCTAGCTTTGGGTCATCACAACCAAGTAGGGCACGCGCAGTATCTCTCCTGCTAACTTTGGCAGACGAGTGGTGAGGACAGACGCTAAGGGTTCTGCCACTTAGCAAATGAAACAGAGGGCGGGGACGAGGGGAGGGGAGGGGCTGTGGCCGAAGCTCAGCAGAGTTTGAGAGCAGGCTCTCTCCACGGCGTTCCAGCCGGGACGGTGTGCCTCTGGACGGAGAGGGAGCCACCAGCTTCGTGGCTTCTGTGAACCGTAAGGACCTCTTCTGAGGCCACGAAGCACGGAGCAGACAGGAGTCTTGCGAGGAGGCACCCACACTGACCTAGGAAATCAGATGGTGCCGCGCCAGTCCCGATGGACGTCACTTCTGCTAGTTGGCGCCTGGTAGACACAGGGCCCTACCACGTGACCAAATACAATTTCGAGCACAACTCGGGTAAGCGTGCCCATTAAGATTAGATTCAGTCAGCACAATCATGAAGAACCAAGCTGATACACATCGAGTTACAGACATCTTAATATTTTTCTGCTGGAGATCAACTATTGTTTTGCTTGAAATAAAAATGATGGCATGCTATTATCAAAAGGGAGCATGAATAATCATGAGTGATTAGAATTAAGTTGGAATAGAAATTAAATAATACCACTGCCTACTAAATAGCTTAGAGAACAAAACTACAGTGGAGAGATGATTAGAAACCGGTTACAGATGTAAATTAAAATGTATTACAACAGTGCTTTATGGGCCTTCGGCATGCCTTGCATTCTTCTGCGAAGCTCACACGGGGAAATAAAAAGTCGTGTGCTAGCCAGCGTCTACTTATTTCTGATTCAATGAAAATAACGTGTTTTTCTTCTCTGTGCTCATATGAGAACTAAAGGAATGATTCTTCAACTTTGAAGAACGCATTAAAATTTACAAAGTACTTCGTGACAAAGATAATATGCTCAAAAATAAAACAGTTGAGAGTCTCAGCAGGTAACCATAAAAAGCAAATCAAAACATGGCTGTTCCCTGGAGGAAAGAAGGCAACCTGTGCCGTGCGGTTGGTGGCCTTTGGTTCATTCCAGAAGGAATCCAGACGGGAGCGCACACAGCCTCCGGGACGCTGGCCTCCCACGGGCAGGCGGCCACCGCTATCGTTTTCTTCTCCTTGTTACCGACACCTTTCTGTACCCGCACATTCACTTCCACAATGTGCCGTGGCCCCTTCTACCTCTCTCCCTGTCTTCCCGCCGCAGGCTGGGTGCGTGCGATGCTGCTGCCCTGAGCAAACCCCGAGCCCCCCGGGACCACAGCACCCGGGGCCACGCATCGTGGCCCAGAATGGGGAAACTCCGAATAGACTCACTTTACTTTTTCAACTCCAGTGAGAGTTTTCAAAATTTGTTTATTTATGTATTAACCCCGCCTCTGCCCCTCCCCCAAGTTAGCAACCATCAGCCTGTTCTCTCTCTACGGGTCTGTTTATACATTTGTTTTGTTTGTTTAAATTCCACAGGTAAGTGAAATCCTACTGTATTTGTCTTTTCTCCCTCTGACTGATTTCACTTACAACCCTCTGGGGCCATCTATGTTGGTGCGAATGGCGAAATTTCATTCTTTTTTACTTTATTTTTTATTTACTTTTTTTTTTCCCATTTACTGGCTTTCAAAGTCCAGTGAGATTTTAAAGAAAACAAGAACAGATGCCCAAGCATAGGATCCTGGGGCTATGTAGTTTTAGGATCTAAAAATCTACCTATTCGTGGTTTTCAGGGTGACCTCGAAACAGAGCCGCCGGGGAAGTCCTGCAGGCGGATCCGCCGCGCCCCAAGTGAGCTGGGACTCGGCCGCTCTCTGTCCTGGGTCACCAGCGCGAGTCCCGTGAGACGTATGTTCTTAGCCTGTTATCTCTGCCCATCCCCAGTTCTAACCCAGGACCAGGACCAACGCAGTTGCTTAGTGAACATTAACTGAACTACAACTGACTGTAAAATGAGTTCCACCAAAAAAGCTCGCACCCTGCATTTCCTGAATTAACCGATTCCCATTTCTGAATGCAGGTATGAGCTGCACCAGGCAGGGTGGCAGGTGCTGAGGTGACAGGGACAACCTGGACAGAGTTTAGAGCCCGGAAGAGGCAGGCGGCACACGATGGCAATGCCTTCAGGGAGCCAGGGAATGGCAGGCAGCAGTGAAGGACCGGGGCTGCCTGGAGGGTGCAGACCCAGGGGACAGCACCCCACACCCTGCCCCCGCCCCGCCTCACCTTCAGGTCTCTGTACACCACGAAGCGGCTGTGCATGTGCTCCAGCCCCAGGATGATCTCGGTGGCATAGAACCGCATCTCCTTCTCGGAAAACACCCCGTGCTGCGAGAGGTGGTAGTGCAGGTCGCCCCCTGGAGTCGGAGACACAGAATGTAACCCCAAAATCGCCACCGTCCTAAATAGTTGGGCGTTAAAAAAAAAGTCTGCTTCGGTTATAGGCCTAGCTCTGATTTCTGCAGTCAGACAAAACGCTTTAAAAATTAAAGAGAAAATTTAAACACGGAGAAGACTTATAAGCAGCGCTGGCTGGGACCACACAGAACGAAGTCATCGCTCTCAGGCTGGTCCCAGAAACAGCCCCGGGGGGGGGGGGGAGCTGCTCTGCTTCAATCCCCCAAATCCCATCTAATGACTGAATCGACCATATGTGGTCCTCCAGCAGCTGTCTTAGCAACTGGCTCTATGGACAAATAATAAACAAACAGATAAATAAACACACTGGTCATATTGGTAGACAGTTCATAAAGCAAGTAACAGTAGAACTTTTGAAACTTACTTTCCAATTACAGCTGACACACCATATTGTATGAGCTTCAGGTGTACAACATAGGAGCTGGACATTTATATAGTTTACAAAGTGACCACTTTGGGAAACCTAGCACCCACCTGACACCACACACAGTTATTACAATATCATTGATTATATTCCCTGTGCTGTACTTTACATCCCTGTATTTTCATAACTGGCAACAGGTACTTCTTAATTCTTGCACCTTTTCTACCCTTTCCTCTAACCCCCCTCCAATCTGGTGAAGAGAGTTTCTGTTTTGTTTGTTTATTTTGTTTTTTAGACTTCACTTATAAGTGAAATCATATGGTATTTGTCTTTCTCTGCTTATTTCAGTTAGTATCATACCCTCTAGGTCCATCTATGTTATCACAAATGATAAGACTGCATTCTCTTTTACAGCTAATACTGAATTGTACAAATTCACACCGCACCTTCCTTATCCATTCGTCTGCTGACAGACACGCAGAATGCTCCCATATCTCGACTACGGTAACTAAATACCGTAAAATTTTAACTGGTAAAATCCAGGTGGGGTTGTTTGGGTGTCCCCAGAAAAGTTCTTTCAACTTTGCTACGTGTTTGCAAGTTTTCATACTACAGTGTTGGAAAAAGCAAATAATCACGTGGTCTAACGTTACACAGTCGGGAAATGCCACCAGCAGGGTGAGGGAACGTTTCTGTGAACTGTACGGGAAAAGCATCTATCGATCTGTAAAAGTTACTGTGTGTCTAACTTGAATGCCCCGGCTTTTGTAAGTGCTGTGCCCTCCCTTTCACACATGCGTTCCTGTACAACTGGTATTACCAGATCAAGGTGAATGCCCGGCCCCCGTCGGGCGAAGGGAACGCCACGTGGACCTCTCTCACCGTGGACCGATCCTGCCTGTTCTGACAGTTGCACCAACAGAAGCGTGCAGAACACCTGCTGCTGTGTTTGTTCATCTTTTGTTTATCATTATGACCGTGAAACTCCTTCATGTTGTTGGACAGATCCAGCCTTAAACACTCAAAACACAGTAAAACTTCACATGGAGTTCAAAAAAGGCACTTAACTTGTTGAACTGGATGCCTTTTTACCTCAGCTCTTGTTACTAAAAATACTCCCACTTTCTGCTACCAGACGCTACTTCTCCCACTAACCCTTCTCGGCATTCTCGGGGCCATCACGCGTTCATAGTTTTACAGATCGATGCATAGCTGATCTGGGTTAAAGGCACAGCAAACTGGGCTAAAATCCCTTGAAGCTTGTTTTCAAATACATTTAATTTATATTCTTATGAGATATTTCCTTCCTGAAAGGTGGGGGTTAGAAGACTAATTAGCAATCGGAGCTGCATTCCAGAAAATCAAGTTTCACGTTAAGTGTTTTAGGAAAATCTTTTCAAGAAAATGCCACTTCCTGGGGAAGGACTGGGAGGGCCAGGGGGGAAACCACAGCCAACATTTTTAAATGAATGTTAACAAAAAATCGCAGCGTCAAAGGCTTCCTTAATCTTCAGGAAGAAACTCATCGTCTGAAGGGCCCCTACTGCCGGCTGCCCCCCGAGACTGACCAGCACGGCAAAGCCCTGCAGGGCTCCCCAGGCTTCACTCACCGTTCATCAGGTCCAAGATGAAGCAGAGTTTGTCCGGCGTGTGGAAGGCGTACGTCATGCAGACGATGAAAGGGCAATCCTAGCGCGAGAAGACACAAGACGGGGTGAGAAGGGCGAGGGCAAGGGCTCCCCTGAAAAGCACCCGACCAGCGAGCACCATCGACGGGTCTGTGCAGACATGCCGCTGCCCTGTCCACGCGCTGAGCACGGACCCCCATGTGGCGACTCTGCGGGCACAGGGAAACAGGGCCGGTCCCACGATCACAGCACAGAGACATAGGGACAGTGAATGGAGCAGAGGAACTCAAAGGTCCTTGCTCACCAGATTCGATCATGACTCTTCTGGCTACAACTTCGAAAGATTCGGATTCTACAGAAAAATATCACTGCCCTGCTAGTCTTGTTGTTGGCCTGTGTTTGCTTTTGGCAGGTCACAAAGCCATTTCAATCTTCATTTCTAAAGTTGGAACACTGTACTGTGGGGGTTGGGGGGGGTGGGTAAAGCTTTGTTTGCCTCTACAACCCTGAAACACTGAGAATAAAAGTAAAATTAAATCCGCTTTGGAAAGTGCAAAACTGTACCAGGGTCGGGGCTGAATAACTCAGTTGTGACTACGTCCATTTCCCCCAAGTTAATCTATAGATTCTGTGCAATTTTAATTAAAATAAAATTGACAAGCTGATTCTGAAATTTATGTGGTAATGGGGACAGAAAACAAGCTGGAAAACTCACGGTGCCACAGAACAAGACTTGTCATAACCAACAGTAGTAATTCAGAAAGCGTGGCGTTAACCAGAGGACGCACAAACAGGCAGTGGAAAAGAGCAGAGAACCCTGAAACAGCCCCCGACACACACATGGTCCATGCATTTGTGACAAAGTGACAAAGAAAGCACGGGGGGCTGGGGGGGGCTCTTCCATCGACAGTGCTGCAGCGGATGTGGGTTTCTGGGCAATGAAACTGTGAACAATCCCCCCCCTCACACCACACTGAGGTCCACTGTAGGCAGAAACACGTTGGAAGGTAAAACAATAACGCTTCTATAAGAAAACAAAAGAGAGTATCTTCCCTGGCTGGTGCAGTTCAGTGGTTGAGCGTGGGCCTGTGAACCAAAGGGTCACTGGTTCAATTCCCAGTCAGGATGCATGCCTGGGTTGCAGGCTGGGTCCCAAATAGGAGGCACGTGAGAGGCAACCACACATTGATGTTTCTCTCCCTCTTTCTCCTTCCCTTCCCCTCTCTAAAAAGTAAATAAATAAAATCTAAAAAAAAAAAAAAAGAGAGTATCTTCATGATCTTAGGGTAAGTAAATACCCCCTCAATAGGCCACAGGAAAGCGCTAACAATAAAACATTGATAAACTAGACCAAAACAAAACTAAGAATGTCTGTTCTTCGGAAGGCACCATTAAGAGAGTAAACAGGCAAGTCACAGAACAGGAGAAAATATCTGTAATCCATAAATGCAATAAGGCCTCATTTAGAATATACAGAGAAGTCTTGCAAATCAACAAAGCAGAAAAGCAATCAACCCAGCGGAAAAATGGCAAATGACAATAACAACAGTAATTGAATAGCACTTCACATTAAGAGGCTAGCAATGGCTCACGAGCCTGTGAACAGAAGTGAACCTCAGCTGTCCCCAAGCAAACACAAACTACAAATTGCAACGTGCCACCACTCGGACTCACAGACACCAAGACGGAAAAGACCGGCAATGCCAAGTGCTGGGAAGATGGGGAGTGAGTGGGGCGTCTGCACACGGCTGCGAGGAGTGTCGAACGGAACACCATGCTCACGGCCGGTGGCCGGTCCCCGCCAAAGCGGAGCACCGCCTACAAACTCTGGGCTGTCTGCCTCATGGGACCCGGTCCTTGTGTGCGTATACGGAGGCCTGCACGGACCGCTCCTCACAGCACCACTCAAAACAGCCCAAACCAGGCACAGCCCAAATGCCTACCGCGCTGGGACGGACCCCCAAACTGTGGAACACCAGAGAGCAAGGGGCAGCAGGCGTTTTCCACAAAGGGTGGGGCGGTAAGTACTGTAGGCCCTGCAGGCCCCCTACAGGCTCTGTCACACATTCTTTGCTTATTTTCTTTGCTACCCTTTAAAAACATCAAAACCGTCCTTAGTGCACAGGCTGCACCAAAAAGGCCACCAGCCAGATCTGGCCCACAGGCTACACATAGCTGGCTGACCCCTGTATTTGGCTACAGAACGCACTGTGGTCGAGTGCGACGCCACAGATGGATGGCACAAGGAACGCTGGGTGAGTGACAGGAGCCAGTCACAAGAGAGCATTTACTTAAAGTTCAAACACAGGCGACGCTAAATGATGGGGTCAGAGGCACGGGCAGCAGTTAGTCTGGGCATGGGGGCGTGGCTAAGCGGGGCTGCCTTCGGAGGCTCCTGGAGCCCCGGGGACTTTCTACCTCCGGTCGGTGAGCTGGGCGCACGCGCGCGCACGCACGCACGCACGCATGCACGCACGCGCCGCCCTGCGGAAATCCCTCTGCGCCGTGGCTGATCCCTCCATCTGGGTCTGCTCAGACTCTGCATACACCGGGGGTACTGGCCAAGCGACTGACTCAAATAAAGAACGGCACCGAGTATCTCTACCCACCTTTTTAACCGAAATAATCTATAAATAGCACTCCCACTGCTCAAACCTGTGTTAAGGGCCTCCAGACAAATTTGGGTTCACAGAGTCCTACAAACTAAAGATGCATAAACTTGAACTCCATCCCCAGACATCTTTTGGAGGAAATTCAGAATGAATTACAAAATTCATTTTGTGGTTACCTAGTTTTCCTTAGAATTCTGTTGAGACAGTATTAGTGTTTCCTAATTTCAAAATCTAGGTTTTTTAAAATCGTCATCGTAATTCTTTTCCATTACCATTTAGTCTCTTCTACCCCTCCCCCAGCGATCACCACACCGTTGTCCGTGGCCGCGAGCCCTTTCTCCTTTCTTGCTCAATCCCTCCACCCCCTAACCTCCCCCACACTAGCTGTCATCTGCTCTCCATCTATGAGTCTTCAAAGTCTGTTTTAAATTGGTTTAAAAAAAACAAAAAGGATGTATTTTTTTGTTCAAAACCCCATGACCCATGGGTGGAGGGCGCCGTCCCACTCAGAACCCACCCACCCACGTCTAACTCATGGTGCTCCTTCTTGCACGGGGTTCCCCACGGGCTCCTGCCTCTGGTCTGTGAGCACCTGGGCCACAGAGCAGAGAAGTGGGCAGCCCTGGAACTCAGTAAAGCCACGGCCTTTCCTGGCTTGAGGCAGTAACTGCACTCGCTTCACCCAGGGGTGCCAGGGGTGTCTCCGAAGATGACAATGCATGACCTCGTTAAGGACAACACTGGGCACACGTCCAAAGGTTCAGGTGTCCTTAAGAAGTTAGGTTATTAAGGAGGGGCGTGAATTGTAGATTTAGAATCATAGGCTATCTGAGTAGAAAGGGCCCTTTAAAAAAATTACCTGGTTCAACTTCTTTATTTTAAAGACGAGGAAACTAAAACCCCCATGGGGGAAATGACGTGCCTGAGGTCACGGAGAAAGTTGGCAGCTGGCCAACACCCAAACCCCATGCCGCCTGACCCTCTCCAGAGTCCTACGTGAGGCATCGTCTAGAAGCAAGACTTTTACAGTGATGTGAACTTGAACCTCGGCTAAAGGAAGGCAATTCGGTCCCTGCTCTGGAACTCCCTGACTGCAACGCCTCCCCTCTCGGGCGCTGAGCGGGTACCACACAGAGTCCCGCATGGCCTCTGGGACACAGGGAACCAACTCCTGACCAATGAGAACAAACAGGCGGCAACCGAATGAATGGTGCTGGTACAGGTGCGAAGGTCCTTACTGTTCAGGTGTTCTGCCCTGATGACCAATAAAGGTCAATAGGAACTAGTGAATTTTTAGTGGCACATCCTTAAACAAAGCTCCTCAGCAAAGAACTGTCTTTGATTTCCTATTGGTAGTAAGCAAAGTAGCCTGAATTGTGCCCCAACTGTGTACACAACTGTGATAAAACAGACCGTGAAGGGTTTCTTTAAGAATCGTCTCCACTTTGCAGTCAGAGGGAGCTCCTCAGGCAGCAGACCCGGTTCATTACGTTATCTCCCCCTCAACACCCGCTGTTTCCAACCGCTGTCCGGTCTGAAATCCTCCGTGTTGGCCCAGAAAGCCCTCCACGGTGTGGTCCGGTCTGGCCTGTGCCTGCTTCTCTCTCTCCAGCCTCATCTTGCGCTCCTCACCCCCATCTTGCGCTCCTCACCCCACCACATCTGACCCCCACCCGGCGGCCTTCCCTCCGGTCCCCCTGCCCTGCGCTGGGGACCAGACGCGCTCTGGCACCCCCTGTGACTTCGCGGGTGCACTCGCTGACGACATCTCCACTCTGGCACGTGCCTGCCAACACTGTGCACTGACCTTTCACAGCCCCACCCATGTGTTCCGATCACCTGCGCTCTTCTGGGCCCACCTGAACACTACCGCCCTCTCTCGGTCTCTGCGCAGCCTGAGAGGAGCCAGGAGCACAGGCTCGTTCCGGGACCCCCGTCCCACAGCGGAGCGGCTGGCGCGGTCAGGGTCCTCGACTGCGCTCTCCCCAGCCCTGGGCGCACTCACTCTGCCTCTCGAACACGACAGCCCTCGTCGCTGCACACGAGTTACAGGGTACTTCCGGGGAGTGCAACACCCCACTGGACACTGGAAGGACAGACTCACCCTTCCCATAAAAAATAAACAATAGAAAAACCTATGATGCGTGACTGCAATCCAGAATCACACCAATACCCTAGGACATCATGTCGATAAAGGCTGATTTAAAGTTTAGCCTCCCGAGACCATTTTAAACTGGAGATTACTAAAAACCTAGAGACAGTGGCCTCTGATTAGTAAAAACAATATCAAATAACTTTACTACAACTCTTCTGGTTAAATACCACACACACACACACATATACACACACATAAACACAAACTAAACAGTTTTGATACTTGAATAAAAACATAAACAACTCCTTTAAATTAGTTCAAAGCAGTAACCCAATAAAACCCCGATTTTCTATTAATTATCCCCTTAGCTGAGTACATGTAAAATTGCTACGTGAAAATTGTATGGACATTTTGCCAACACCAACAATTGCTTTCCATGGGCTTTCTTGAGAATGACTACCCAAGGCTTTGAGAAAACTCATTAACAGTGAGCACTCCCTAATCACAGACACTCTGCAGTGAGCACACATTTCCGTGTGAAACTGAAGAGACATTTCCAGCTGAAGTCAGACGCCGAGGCTGCTCCCAGTGAGTCCACTCCAGGGGACAGGCTGCTTGGCTTCCATTCCAATTAGCTGAGAACTCGGTCATGCACACAGGCCAGTGACTCTTATACGAAGCGCTCAGTGCCTACACGCTGGGCGGTCGAGGCCCATAACCAAGAAGGATTTACAGCCATGGCACCTTCGCTCGTTAGAGTCCAGTTAAATTATGACATTCTCTTGCTTCAACAGCAGACAGCCCTTCCAGAACCATTAAAGCTAATGCTAGAATAACACTGACCACAATGCAATCAACATTGGTGATAAACGAAAAACATGGGGCCTGTGAAGGGATGGTGAGAAAGGAACCCTGGGAGTGTGCCGGGAAGCCGGGGACTTTGGGCAAGGAAATTAACCTCCTGGGTCTCCGGTTCCTTGCCTATTAGATGAGAGAGATTCTTTGACTCACCACTAAAATTCGGTCCTTTCAAACCCTCTCGGTGAAGAGGACCTTATTTAGAATCCAGTCGTGGTAGGTGGAGGTCCCCACACGTTTCACTGTGCATAAGCCTTCACGTGCAAACCCTCACGTGAACTGCACAGCACAGGCCTGGCCATTCCAGGCTCGCCGCCTCCCTTCCCTCCCAGCCCCCGCCCCCTGGCCTCTGAGAACACTGCCCACAGGCCCGCGGGCAGCAAGCGCACACCCAGGTCTCTGGGGCAGGGAGTGTTTCTGGAGGCGCCTTCATACACGTCTGTCCAAATGGAGCAGAGCCAAGGCTTCATCCTGGGTGATACCACTCACAGAAAAAAATCGGAATGGGACACTGTTTTGCAAGTAAAGACACAGGGTCAAAGCGTGTCTTCACACGGCTGAACTAAACACACTGGCTAGACACACAAATCACACCCCCGACAGGCAGGCACACGGCCCCGGAAACGGAAATGACCGAAGGCCACAGCAGGTGCCAAGTGGCGAGTGCGGAGAAGTCACCTCCACAGGGAACAGCGCCTGGGACGACCCCACGGGGACAATTCGGAGGCGGCCAACCCCGGGCGCTTCCTCTCTGTCTGTGTGTGAAGGGCGCCAGCCACGCTCCTCTTACTTCTTCTCTCTGGGTTAGTCCTTCTCAGTCACGCAGTCAGTTCTTAACTATACTTGCTGTTCTGGTTGTTGTTACGATTATTTTTCTGGCTTCTCTCCAACCGTCTTTCACAAAGAAGTGAATCGTAACTAAGCGCTAAAGGGAGAAGGCATGGGTGCTCCCAGTGATGGGTACGTCCTTTCCTAACTCGAAAATTACAGGGATGACATCCGAATTGGACACTATCACAGTGCCCCTGTTCCCTGCTGTAAATCCTAACCTGCCCCATGACTGGCCAGCCCCGTAAGTCACCAGAAAATGCCTACATTTCAAATACACTGTCCTGACAGCAAACAACCAGGGAAATGAGAAAGAAAAGCACTGTTCAAAATTCAATACTTACTCCTGTACTCACGAGCGACAACATAATCCTTTCATTCAAGGCCAGTGTCTCTCCTTGTTTCATCTTGATCCTCTTCTTGTCTAAGCATTTCATTGCGTACCTAGAAACACGAACATCACTGAAAAGTCAACGCTGGGAACACACCCAGATGGATTGAAACAAGACATATTGCCCTGGGGAAAGTTTCTAAAGACTCCCGTGGTGTTTAAAAGAAGCAAACTGGCATCCGGGTGCCATGCAGAAAAACGTTCCCACGTGTGTGAAGAAAAGAAAAACCAACCCCCCTCCGGGGTCGGGGGTGGCATAATCCCCCTCCTGGGCTGTGGGCTGTGCAGAGTGACTTCCAAAGAGCACACAGCACGGAGGAGCGGGAGAGTGGCTTCACAGTACAAACATCTGACACACACGACCTCAGCGGAGGGCTCAAGGTCAACATCATCAGTGCTACAGCACTCAGGTAACTGGTGGCTTTGCTAGGATGTGGTGAGAATGGCACTTTACCACGGGGTCTTCCTTCCAAAAGCCCATAACCCCAGTCCAACCGAGGGAAAAGCATCAGACAAGCCCAAGGACAGTCGACTGTATATGTCGGCTTTTTCGAGACTCAGGTAAAATAACAAATGCGTATCAAGAAATAAACTGATACTATTTACTTCTACAACATCATGCAACAGGCTAGACATTCTAAATACCTCAACAAGCTACAATGATGAAGTAAAACTGATAATTTAGTGAAATGTAGCACATGACAAGTAAAGTACATTGTGTAGGCTCAAGGGGCCCACTGAGGCGAGTGTGGGGAGGAGAAGGACGTTTCCCTACCAGACTCTGTTTTTACAGAGTATCCTCACATTTAATTCTTACAGCAAGGCAGGCACTTCTTCCAACTCCACTTTACAAACTAGGATCGGAGGCTCCGGGAGGCCCAAACTTGGCCTCAGCCAGGGAGACACTGCGGAAGTGCGTGTGACCTAGCCGTGTGACACCAGGGGCCCGTGCTCCGGGTCCCTGTGCTACCTGTCCCAGCACGACACCAGGCTTCAGACACCTGGGTGCCAGGCACTGGGCTCACCCTGCACAGCGTCTCAAAGCGGGAAGAAGAACAATGGGCACAAATCAGTGAAGGTAAATTCCAGCCCCAACGTTAATAAAAAACGTGCCAACCACTGAACCAGGACAGACGCAGGCAGAGGCTGAGGGGCAACCTGACGGTGACGCCAGGGCGGCAGCAGGGGGAGGCAGGCCCTGGAGGAGGTGACCCCAACTGCTCCTTCTCACGCCGACTCAGTGGTTCTGTAACCAACCTCACAGACTACGCCACCTGCCCACCGTTCTGACACGCCTGTCACTTCATCAGACGTGTAGGTCTGCGTCTAACATCACACCTTTCCATTGTCTTTTGCCTTCCGAAATATGTTCCCTTGAGCTGCCTCTATAGTAGCAGAATCCCCCTAGCCCACTTGAGAATCCCACCTGCACTTTCTACAGGACCCTTACACCTGGCTCACAGGCACCGGACTGCCTCACATCCGCCCCATGAGATAAGTGATTGCAGTGAGAGATGGGCCCCACGATCTCCACAGCAGGGTGCCTGCCCTCCCCATCGGCACCCAGCTACCCATCTGTGGAAGCCACGCCCCCTGGAATGCTACCATCCAGAACTGCGCGTGCTAAGTCATGGGTGGGTCATTATTTAGGAGAGAATGTCTACTTCTTTTTGAGCTACACGACTTAGAGAGCTAGACTTGGGCTTCCAACAACCTATGCAGGGATTTTCTTCGGCTGCAAGCAAAAAATCCTCTTCACGGTCCCAGAAAAACGTGTGAGCATCGGACACTTACATCTTCCCAGTGTCTGCTTTCCTGCAGCCGTACACTTCACCAAAGCCTCCCCGGCCAATGATCCTGTGTACGCTGAAATCGTTCATGGTCAACTGCAAATTCAAAAGGCAAAATGGAAACAGGCGGGCGGCTGTGTGAAAACTACGTCGTAAAGATTTAGTTCCATGCAAAGCACAGACAAGCTACTGAAACGGCAGCTCTGCCGCAGAGATCTGCCCTTTGCCCGGCTGACGCCTGACGTGGATGGAGGAGCTGCACTCGGCGGCCAGGCTCTCCAGGACCTCCCCCCGCCCCACCCCCGGGACGTACAAAACGGAGGCACGTGGGAACGTAACAGGGGGAGCCACGCTAGACTGCTCTTCCAGTCTCATCAGTCAGGTGGCAAGACACACGTCCCTTGAAGCCAAGTGATTGTGAAATTTCTAGTCAAAAGGAGAAGCAGCTTCGGCTACTCTGGAGCCTCAAGTTTGGGAAAACTCAGCACGTCCAGGGCCTGGCATGGGGGAAAACTAAGTCCATGGCCAGGGCATCTGTGCTTCCCGAACCGGGAGCCATATGATCAGAAAACCCAACAGATGCTGGCCATGTGAGCTTTTTATCGATAACATCAGAGCAGGGCGAGGACATGTGCCGGGCATGTGAGCATGAAACCAGCCTCAGTGTGAGTGAAGGACAGAAAGAGGCTTTATTCACAAGCACTTTCCTCTCGTCGACTGTGGCTCCATAAAGCCCTGCCTCATACGGAGGTTTAACAGCTCTAGACGGTGCAAAGTCAGAGAGAACATCCTACGGTCATGTAAAGAGGGCTCTGGATCACGGAAAACGCCTACTGTTTACACACCCTGGCAATTAAGGGTCGGGTTCCTGAAGGTTCTCCCAGAACCCCTAAAACTTCATGCCTGCATCGGGGTACGGGCAGCTGGCCACTGGCCACCCTGGGCAGTAGCATCACATCGGACACTGAGGGGACATGGGACACAAGGACGCCAGGCCTGGGCACGAGGAAGATCCACAGCAAATGTAAGGGATTTCTGAAAACTGTGTGTGCTGCCTTTCACCAGGAAACGTGATGGAAAGGGGAGATTAAAAAAACAGATAAACAAAAACCCAACTCCTCTTCCAACAGGACCATTCAAGTAAAAAATGCTAAAAAAAAATGCATCCAGTTGATAACTAATTTTTCCCAACTGCAAGCCTACGTAGGGGGAGAGCAGGTGGGGGAAGGCAGGAGAGGCCGCACGGAGAAATGTACCCTAAAAGCGAAGAAAGAGGGCCCGTGGCCTGGAATTCCTGCCGCTAAAACAAGATGTAAGGCCAAGGAAGAAGCAGGTGCTGGAAAGCGGCCAGCGTTTGGGGGCTGTTTTTAGTGTTCTCAAAACAGAAGATATGAGACTTTGGTCTAAAAAAAGACGTCATCGTCTGTAGCACGACTGCACCTGCTAATACGGAAAAGGAAGGGCACTTTCACACGCGTGGCAAAAGACAAGGGCACACATGAGTCATGTCACGCAGACTTGTATTTGCACTACTGTTTCTGTTGAAAGGGTGGGTCGCTGCCTAAAATACCCTTTCTTCAATCAATAAACACATTCTGAGAGGAACACAAAAAAAGAGAATTAAAGAACCCAACTTGTTTACAGCCGGGCCGGCCTTTGCGTGTGGGAAGCTGTGAGCACATCTGCTCGGGGCGGCCCATCGCCCTGGGGAGTTGGCTCCGGAACCGAGTATTTTCTCATGAAGTGAAGCCAGAGGGAGTTTTTATTTTAAGAAAGAAAGACAGGCAAAGATAATACTCACGTGGATATTTAACTCTACGTTTTTCCACTGACAAAATCTGGTGAACTTGTCACTGAAAAAGAACACAAATGATTACTGGAAAGTTGAATATCAAAGTAACCGGACTTCGGGAGCGGAGCCCCACTCCTGGTTCCCTTCTCAGACAGAGCAGGTTTCCTCAAACTCGTTCTCGAGAGGCAGCCCCGGGGCGGCTTTGCTTTAAGCTTCAAACGCGCGGCATCGCAGTTCTCCTCTACCTGCCCTCACGCTTCAGGCGTCTGTCTGTCTCGGTCCGCACTGTTCCACGGGCCAACACAAACCACATATGTGAAATTACATGTTAATAATGTATTTGATTTAACCCCAAAATCTCAAAAACTATCATTTCCCCACATAACCAATATAAAGTTATTGACCAGAAACTCTACATCCTTACTTTTCCTGAAGCCCCTGGAGCCCGGTGCGCACCTGCGCCGCCGGCTGCGCTAATGCAGACCAGTCGCGTTGCACGTGCTGAGCGGCTACCCCTGGCTACCGCCCTGGCCAACACAGCTTTAATGAACAAAAAATGAATGTTTACAGGTAATTGTGAGAGTAACGAACCCCCGATGTGCTAGGCTTCGAAGGCCTACTTACTCAACACCTCCATGGCAGGCACTGTCCATTCCCATCTCACAGCCAAGGCCAAGGCCTGTCCCAGGCCACACACAGTGTGAGTGGGTGGAAGGGAGTCTGGACCCGGACCACGCACTGCCTCTCCAAGATGCGCAGTGTCGGAGAGGAGCCTTCGCACCCGTCTACGGCCACCCCGCCCTGAACGCACCCAATCTCGTCTGCTCTCAGGAGCTAAGCAGGGTCGGGCCTGGTCAGTACTAGGACGGGAGAAGCCCTCGGACCAGCATCCAGGACACCACAGGCAGGCTGCAGGGTGTGCCGCTGCCTCAGCTGCCGGATGGGTGCTTTTGCATCATAAACTAAGAAAAATGTCTCTTTAATAAATACATTATTTTGGTTACTTTTAAATTAACGTTCTTATAAAGTACAAGCTGTGAGTATTATCAGCATTACAATAAAATGCCCTAAAGGCACGAATACCCTGGTTCCCCAGGGACCTCACCTAACACGCACTCCACTGAGCTCTTTAAAACGTCTCTGGGGCCACTAATCCCATTGAAAACCAAAAGCGGAAGAACTCTTTGTAGTCACATAGTATCTTTTTCCACCGACTCTAAAATGACTTTTAATGAACGTTTCTTTGATCCTCCTCACATCTCTGTGAGGCTGGTAAAATAAACTACATTCTGAGATTTCATACAGCTTTTTCTTAGTGTGGTCAGAGCGAAAGCTGGAACCGCGCTGAGCGCGCCCTGCGTTTATACCACCACCCCCACCCGGCCCTGCCGCTCCGTGAGACCCCAGTGCTCCACCAGCTCAGCGGTCCTCTTTTCTCACACCCGGTTCCCAGCTGGCAGCAGGGGGTGGTGCTCGCCTTACACTCTAGCCGGGCAGGGTGAACAGCCCGGGACAGGGGGGTGCCCAGCTGGCCCAGAGGAGGGTAGGGGAGGCGAGAGTAGGCAGTTCTGACTCCAAGGTTGCGTGGTGTTGGACTGCTCGGCAGTGGAGTCCACCGCCTGAACAGGGCCCGCAGGCCTCGTCCAGAAAAGGGAAGGCCTCCCCACGGATTCCGCCCACCCTGCCAGGACCGCGGCCCTGGGCCCCTGCTGGGCCTCTGGGGGAGGGGGGGTGGGGGGAGGAGAGAGAAGAGGAGTCCTCACCGCTATTACTGCACTGCCCTGCGGCTGGAGCCCGGAGGCCCTTTCAGAGTGTGGCCGTCCCGAGGACAGCAAGGCTGCAAAGGCTCTATTCGTGGGACGTCTGCGCCCTGGGCCGGCAGCCCGTCCCAGTCCCCGTCCCCGTCCCAGTCCCCGTCCCCTCCGTGGTTCTGCTGCTTTCCGGCCAAGTTTCTGCCCCCACCCAGAAAAGCGTGATCATCTGTATGCATATGAGCTTCCAAAGCACTGACTCGCTCCAGAATAAAATCATCTGTTGAACTCAACGCAAGTTTGTTTTTCTCTAAATCACTTGAACATGTGGAGGGAAGAAAACTATGATGAAGCAGCCGCCGGGCGCGCCGCCGGGCACGCATCCGGGCTGCGGAGAAAGGCACGGCAGGGCGAACGCAGATGGGCTTTGACGTGCGTCACCACAGACAGGGGCTCCACACGCTGGCACCGACCCCAGGTGGTGTCGGTGGTGGGGGGGTGTCTGACACGCGGACGAGCTGGACGCGTTTACAGACGTCACTGCCACGTTTCAGAATTTTGATGGCGAGCGTGCTCTTCCACAGCTTGAGTGACGCAAAGGGACATATTTATTAGGTGTATTAGTGACACATTGGGTCACAGACATGCACGTGCCCACACCCTTCAGACTATGAGAATCAAGTGCACAGGCCTGTCCCACCCTGGGGACGTGGTTTTGAAGGCCGAACAAGTGAGTCAGGTCAATTACACAGCTGCACTGGCACTGGCGAAGGTGCCCCAGTGAGACACTTTCAAGCCAGAGGTTTCCCAGCCTATTTAAATGTTAGGCCATTTCATAACTAAAGAACTACAAGTCGAAGGGACGTTACGCTACGCAAACTGAAATGACACTGCCACGTCGAGGATACAGGCCAACTGGAAGCCTGCCCCCCAGCACAAGGTCAGCAACGCCCTGGTGCCTGAGTGGGCCAACGCGCGTTGGAAGGGCAGCGTTTGCTGGTTAAAGGAGGTACTTACGCCTGCACAGCACGCGATTTTATATATGCACTAAAACTGCAATACAACGTTCAATGTCAAATGTAGCTTAACAAAAGAGATTTTATATGTATACATAAAGTTTCGTACCTTTCCATAAATTTTTGAAAGATGCTGCCTCGGAGACTGTCACAAATCTCTTCTATGTACGGCTGGAAGGAAAGGAGAAGAGACACCGCGTAAACAGGCATTAAGTTAGAAACTAACGGCTGAGAGTCCGTGAGGCGCGGCTCCGAGTCCGCACCCCTCCCACGGCGCCTCACCCGTGCCCCCCTCAGCGCCCATAGGATCTTCACGAGCGGGCCCGTCATCGTGACTATTTACTTAATAATTATCTACACCACTCGATGGCACATTCCGTGACGGCAGGGACAGGTCCGTCCTGTTTGCCACCGGGACCCTACTGCCTGCCACGGTTCCCTGCGAGTCGATGACACGTCTGAAACGACCGGGGTCGGCTCGGCAGGGGTGAGGCCTGTGCAGGTCCCAGGGCTCACAGTCGGAAGTGCACGTGCTGCTTGGTTTAGCGACTTGCTGCCCCCATCGTAAAACTCTTCGTACGAAGTTTCTGAACAAGGGTCCTTTTTACTTTGTGCTGGGCCCTGTGAGTTACGTGGCACATCTCATGTAAATGACTATTAATTATATAATTACTATTAATTATGATCATTATAAATTATCAGCATTATTATCGAATTTTAAAGACTAAAAGCTAAGGGACTCATGGAGTAAGATTTTTTTAATTAGCTATTTTTCTTACTGATTTTTCTACCTCCTGGAATCACTGAGCTGAAGGTATTGCAGGAGGTGGAGGAGGGAAGAGGGGAAGCTCATCTGCATCTTCATTTTGCACACAGGCTGTGGGCACACATGTTCCCATGGGTTGTGAGTAAGTCCACGGGTAGACCTCGATCAAGGCAACGGCTCCCGGCTGCCCTGGGCCGCGCTCTCCCCTTGAGCAGGATAGTCTACTTCAGTCTCATGCCGCTTCACGCAAACAGCCTGTCTTCTATTTTCCATGTGAGGACCTTTAAATCAAGAACTATAAAACCACCAAATGCCAACCTTTCGCAGTTCAGACAGAGCCAACTAGATAGTTTGGGCGAAGGCCTTGACACCCTACACTCACTGAAAGATGCAAATGCAATGTTTCTCTGTCTTCCTGGACCACTCTGCAAACTTGCAGACAACAAGAGCGGACCAGATCAGACCAGGAAGTCTGCAGAAGCCACAGGAACCAAACGCAGGCAGCGCGAGACAGCCACAGCTCTCTGGGAGCCCCACTTCCTGTGGCAGATGGAGACTCGGGCTAAGCTGCCTCTGCCATCTCACGGGGCTATCACCGTGCTGGGCAGGGCACTGGGGCTGGTCACTGAAACCAATAGATTCTGTCCCCTCCTGGCAAAAAGGAAAGCTGAACTCTCTCTGAAGCTCTTTCCACTCTGAAACGTTATGCTTCTATGATGACATACAGTACCGATCTCGGCTAAGTCCTCTAGATGCAAAAGGCCAAGGGCCACGACCCCCAAGAGGTTCAAAAGACATCAACAGAGCAAACAGTCAAGCATTCAGAGATCTACGAGAAGGCCTGACTTGTATATCACAGATTTCCTATCTATAAAAACAACTACATTACTACTTTATCATATTTTATCGAACATCCCATACTTTCTGCTAATAAAACAAAAGACGAAGTTTACTAGAAATTGTTAAGATTGAGTGATGTATACCACACTGTCACTTTTCAACAGAAAGAACTATACAGTACGCCAGGTGAGCAGTGCAAAGGCCGGAGTTCTGCGTGGGCTTGGGAGCTGCTTTACCCCCTGAAGTCTGCACAGTGGGGCAGTCGCGGCGGAAACTAGTCTGCAGTGCGGTCTGAGACTCAGCCCCACACGGGGCCTGGCATGGTGCACACATACTTGAAGGCCAGCGCCCACTCCAACTGCTGTCACCGAATGAGCCCATGCAATAGTTCACTTCTAAAGTCCACTTTGCACACAAAAAGGAGTTAATAAAAAGCATTTTAGCTCTAGCTGGTGTGGCTCAGTGGGTTGAGCACCAGCCTGCAAACTGTAAGGTCGCTGGTTTGATTTCCAATCAGGGCACATGCCTGGGTTGTGGGCCAGGTCCAGGGGTTGGGGCGTGTGAGAGACAACTGTTTCTGTCATGCACAACGATGTCTCTCTCCCTCGCTGTCTCCTTCCCTTCCCCTCTCTCTAAATATAAATAGACAAAATCTTTAATAAAAGATTTTTTAAAAAGCATTTTATATGTACTTTCAGAGCATTTGTTTCACTCCCTTCTCCTGGATAAGAAATTTCAACGCATGCATCATACTTCCCAAGTTCCTTCCCATAGTAATCAAAGTAGTTCGGCAATGGCATAAAGAAGTGACAATATAGATCAACGGAACCGAACAGGATCTGGAAATAAAGCCACTCATCTGTGGTCAACTGATCCTGGGCACGGTGCCAAGGATACACAGTGGGGGAAGGCCACGCTCTTCAGTGACTGGTGCTAATAATACAGCTGGACATCCACGGGCAGAATGAACTCGTGCCCTTACCTCACACCATACACAAACCCAACCCAAGACGACTTCAGACTGAAACGCAAGACCTGAAGCCATATACCTACTAGCAGAGACCCAGGAGAGAAAGCTCCTTGACACAGGTTTGAGCAATGATGTTTTCAGATGGGACGTCGAGAGCTCAGGCAACAAAAGCAAAAACGGACAAGTGAGGTCGCTTCAAACTAAAAAAACCCAGCAAAGGAAACAACCAACAGAATGAAAAGGCAACCCAGGAAGGGGTAAAAGATTTGCAAACCACATATCTGATAAGGGAACAATACCCAAAATGTGTAAGGACCTCGACTCAATAGCAAAACAAAACCAACCAACCAACCAACCTGATTAAAAATGGGCTAAGGACCTGAGCAGACGTTTCTCAAAAGAAGGCACACAAGTAACCAGGAGGCACGTTGGAAGGTGTTCGACGTAACTTAGTCATCAAGGAAAGACACACCAAAACCACCATGAGACGCTCACCGCACACCTGTTAGGATGTCTGTTCTCAGACGAGATGTGAGTGTTGGTGAGGACGTGGAGAATCGGAAGCCCTTGTGCACTGTTTGTAGGAATGGAAACTGGTGAGGCCACTGTGAAAAACCGTACAGAGGTTCCTCAAAAAATTAAAAATAGAACTACCGTATCATCCCACAATCCCACTTCCGGGTATTTATCCGAAGAAAATGGAATCAGCCTTCTGCAGAGACAGCATGCTCCCAAGTCACTGCGGCCCTGTGCACGGCCGTCAGGACATGGAAACAACGTCAAGTGTCCGCTGTTGGTGGGAGGGGACGTCTACAAGGGGATACTGCTCGATCTTTAAAAAGAAGGGAATCCTGCCACGTGGCAACATGGATGAACATGGAGGCCACTACACTACAAGAGATAAAGCAGACACAGAAAGACAAGGACCATGCGATCTCATTTAGATGCGGAGTTCATAAAAGCAGAGGGGAGAGTGGCTGGGACGACCTGTGGGGGCCCTGGTAAAAGGGTGCAGAGTTTCGGTTATGAGGATGAGTGAGCGCTGGAGATCTCGTGTACGGCATGGACTGTATGAGGAAGAGACCGGTCTTCAGTGTTTGTGCCTCACACACGTACACACATGCACACACGGTACAAGCATGTGAGGTGACGGGCCTGTTAGTTTGACTGCAGTCATCATTTCACGATGCATACATATACTGAAATATTATCACACTGTATGCCTTCCATTATTTATAGTTTTTATTTGTCAATTATACCTCATTAAAGTTAGGGGGGATTTCAACTCAAAGAATGTCGACCAACTTTGTGGCTAATGGCCCTCTATCAACAGGACATGCAGGTGTCCAGCATCTACTTATACTTGAATGTGTTCTGATGGTACACGTTACAATGAACTGCACTAATGTGCTCCTAATTTTAATCAACTTAATAATGGCTATTTCCTTTACCTTTGAAATAAGAGCCCATTCTACATCTTTTGTTACCACATCGTTTTTGTATATATTATATATTTTTATGAACAGATCAGTAGTGTCTTTAAAAGATATTCTGAAGAAGTAGCTTCTGACTGGGTATGCCCCGAGGCAGGAAAAGAATGTTGCTGACCTGTGCATCTCACCTGGAACCCTTTCTTCATGTTACCTGTGCTCTAAGAAGAGCTAAAACCGGAGCGGTGGGTAGGGCCCAGGCACAGTGAGGTGTCCGTTAGTGGTGTTACCTGCCACTGGCTACGAGCCTGCCTGTGAACCTCGCCAAAGCCAGGTGAAAACTGAGGTTCTGACACTAAGGTATCACGGAGACAACACAAAGCAGCTATTCACACTGCACTTCTCGAACGTAAACGTCTGGTAACGGCTAGCGTTGCGGGCACTGCGGTAACAGGCCCAGTGCACCTTGCTCACAGAGCCCTCGAGACCCACCCCTCCACCCGCCCAGGGAGAGCCCACCCTCATCGCCACCCACACAGGTGGGGACCGGGGGCAGGAAAGGTGCACAGGTTTCTCCACGCAGGTCCATGATTTCAGAGCCCAAGTTTATGACCAACTACATTCTACAGACAGGTCCCACGGCTGAAGAAGAAAAGTCCATCCATTAGTCATTACTGGGGCAGAAAGGTTAACACTCATTTTGTTCCCGTAGCCACAGGTCCTGATCGCCGGCTTAGGATGTTCTCTGTACAAGAATCATGTTCACTTTGCATTAAATAAAACAATCCCATCATAAGGCACCAATGCAAAACTGTAAATGACTGAATAATCCAAAAAAGGGTAAGATACTTTTTTCCATTTATAAAAATCATGTTAACTAATGGCATTCTCTTCTTATAATTTACTCAGAGCAATGTAGAAAAGTAGATTATTCCTTTGAAAAGCTGACCGCCCTGCAAGCCGGCACCTCTGCGGAAAAGCCACAGGCCCAGCAGTTGTGGGCGGGGTTCCCAGGTCTTTTAATGTGAGTCTGTAGGACTGTGCTTGCTGTGTGCTCCAGACATGGGGGCCAAGGCACAACCCAGTTCCTCAGACACAACGCCAAGGCCGTTCCGACATTCACTCTTTATTCTTTTTTTTAAATTATTTATCTTTAGAAGGGGAGGGAAGGAGAGAGGGAGAGAAATATCAATGTATGGTTGCTTCTCATGCATGCCCTGCTGGGAACTGGCCCCTGCTGGGAACTGGCCTGCAACCCAGGCATGTGCCCTGGCTGGGAATCGAACTGTGATCTTTTGGTTCGCAGGCCTGTGCTCAATCCACTGAGCTACACCATCCAGGGCTCACTCTTTATTCTTAAGAATGAGCCCACATCACCGGGCAGATAAGCACCTCAAGGAGCAGCAGCCCTCCTGCTACCAGAGACATCTCGCCAAGTCCCGGCTCCACACTGGTGCCCAGGGTGGCAAACAGGACAAGGCTTTTCCTTCCATATCTCCTCTGAGCTACTGAAAATAAGGTTACTGGAAAGCTCGAGGGAGACCTTTTTCAGGAAAGCCTCTGCGAAGGATGTTGGTGTAAGAGAACATTTCAACGTGCAAGAGAACAGGCAATACTAAACTTCAAGTGTTCCAGGTAAATAAACCCCAGACACAAACGGTCTTACACGTAGAGCCCCCTAGTACCTGCGCGCAAGGCACGAAAACGTCAACAAGTCCAATGGTTGAGCAAATCAGATATGTTCATTCTGAAATACTCTCCTCTTACCTGAAAGAGAGCCGACGTCACTTGCTTCTTGGACAGATGGCTTTGGACATGCTCGACAGCTTGCTTTGAGAATGGCTTTTAAAAACCAAAAACAGTAATTTTTTCAACCATTATAAAACACAACAAACCTCTGTGGTATACAATATCACAACAGAAATTTAACACGACAATTATTAAACAGGAATCCAGGAACATAAAAAAGGTCATTACGTTAACACGCATCCCTTAAAAAAATTTCTGCTGGATGTTTGTGGGCCATTGGAACAAATGTTTGTTCCTCTGAGAGTCCAGGTCTCAGATACCACACTGGGAAGAAGGATGGGTGTGGAGGTAGCTGACGGGTATCTGACCCCACGAGAATTCAAGAGTACTGTGATTTTTTTTTAAAGTATAAAGAATTTTACAATCACTTTAGCTGAAAACATCCACTGATTAGCCGATCACGGGGTCCTAAAAATGTAAAATCGCTACAAAGTTAAAACTTCTATAGAAGAAAAAAATGAATGAAGTCACACCCAAGAATGACAGGCCAGGATCACCAGACTGAGCCAGGGTGTGGCGCAGGCTCCGGGTGAAGGGAGAGTCTGCAGTGACACTGCCGGCAATGACCAAACTTCAAATCATGTCTTCTTCTTTAGCGCACAGAAAGAAAGACTTAAAAAAAACCTCCGAATCCCTGAACAACATGAAAACTAGGTTGACGGCGGCTTCCCCAGAGGGTATCTGGCACTTTCCACGGTCCAACTGCCTCCAGCCAGGGCACAGAGCAGCAGTAGTCAGCCCCAGCTCAGGATTCTCTCTGCTCCGAGGCAGGCAGGTGCAAAGGACATCACAGTGACACTGCCAGGGGTGCCGCCCCGCCCCACGGTTACTCAGACGTCAGGCAGGAACTGAGAACGCCTCGACCAACACAGCAGCACGACACGCATCATCCTCGTGACCGTGCCGGGCAGCGAACCTTCTGTGACGAGGGACACACTACGCGTCCAAGCTGTCCACTGCCGGACCACGGAGCCACGGGTGGCCCCCGAGCCCTTGAAATGTGGCTCGTGAGAAGCCGGGAATTGAATTTTTAATTCCACTTGATTTTAATTAAGTGAAACAGCCCCTTGGGAATCGTCACTGCTGCACCTGCCACAGAAGGCCAGGACTATTGGGACATTCCTTTGGAAAACAGTCTTAATGTAGAGAAATTACATGGTCAATTTTTTATTACTAACTTTTCCACCCACTCCTGGGACAGTAATCTCCTAGAAACTTAGTTTATTCTAGTGACTGAATTGAACTATTTATCTGACTTACAAGAAAAAGATTCAACCATTATTTAACAATTAATGAACACAATTAAAATCGTCCTTATTAATTCAAAGAAACCACTTAAGGCTTATATTTATTCTATTTCTGATTAATCCAGATGTAACAATATAACTACATTAAAAGTAATAAAGTTTCATTTCCTTGAGAAAGTCTAGAATTGAGACTACCCATTGCTCTAAATTAGCTACTTTATTTCATCACTTTTTGCAGAGAAAGTGCCTGTTTTTTTACTATATTAAGAGTAGATGGAGCAATGGATATTGTGTAAGTATCATCAGGAAGCAAATAACAAAACATGGGTATCGTTTCATTTTTAAACACCTCCCCCCGTTTTGCTTTCATTCTGTCTCCTAGGCATCCACACGAGAGCCACAGAACCACAAAGAAACACTCACGTGTGAGGAGGACAGCAGCTCCCGCATGATGTAGGTGTCGTAAATCTGCCGACTTCTACAAAGGCGATCCTCCTCGTTCTCAAGCTTTTCATACTCTTTTATCTAGATTTTAAAAAGTCACCATTGTTAAAAAGGCACATCTTCCTGGAAACCTGCTTCACTAAAAGACATGACTGGTCTTGGCTGAAACCAACCACTTCCACGTGCGATCCTGTGAACTGTGGAACCTGCTAGTCCACAGAAAACCACAGCCTGTGCCGCTGTCACAGTGAAGCTGGGATCATTGAAACCCAACTCCAAACCTACGGATGGGATTTTTCCTGCGATGAACCTCATGCCCGAGATGCGGAAACACAGCACCGGGAAACGAACGCTGCCATGGTTACAGCGCTCTTCCAGGCCCCCAGCGTGGACCACTTCTGCTGGCAGGTTCTCCTTTCCCAAGCACAGAGAGGTTCAATTCGGTCCTAAGAGTTATGATGTAGTTCTTGCTCAACTACAGCATTGCAAAACTAACAGGAGAAAAAAATATATGTATATATAGTTGGGATTCCTGCGAGGATAATTTTCCACAGATTAAAGCGCTGGACCCTCATCTTCACTATTTAAGTATTAACAGAAAGCTTACTTCAAATAATACATTTTGCTGACTTAGGGAAGGTAACCCAACAGGTGTGAAGAGGGGCTCAATCGTGAACCGTATTTAGAAATGTTTGCCTTATGCGGAAATGGCCCCGATCATTCTAACTCGAAGGCAGAAGCTCCTGAATCAGGTAAGGTTTTTAATTTATTCACGGAAATACTTTTACTTACTTCAAAAGATGAAATAGAGAATGAAAATACAGATGAACTGTGGAGCCAGCAGGAAGACTAGCAAAGACCCTCACTGTACTGACTAATCACCATGAATGACTTATGGGTGGGGGTTAGTTTCTAACAGGTACCTGGTTGTTCAGCTGATTTACCTGGTATCTCAGTGTTCTTTATTCATGAACAATAAAAGGCGGGGCTAACTACTCCCACGGGAGAGTATAAACCAATGAAAATCAAAGTTATCTTTTTCCTTTGTAGTCTGGGCTTGAGTTCTGAAATCAAAACCAGGAAATTCTACAAGAATTTCTGATGAAGAAAGGGCAGGGCAAGGGGCGTGTGTGATGCCACGGTCCCACCTGAGGACCGGCTGGGTCACGCACTGAGGGCTCAGACCAGAGTCTTCGCGGAAGAGACAGTAAAATCGGACACAGAGGCAGGCAGACTGGGACAGGTTCGTGCCCCCAGCCAGGAGGAAAAGACTGCTAGCGAAGGAGCAACCCAGCAATCGCCCAGGGACCTGCGCTTCCCCAGCCCGGAGGACTTCAAGAAAACATGTAAACAGAGTTCAAGCACCAGGCCAGATGCAAGCACAGCAGCGACAAGACAACGGAGCTGAACAGCTCCGTGGGACGCAGAGTCCGAAAGTACACTCAGCGCTCGGTTTGGTGGAGCGTTCTGTTGCTGTTGTCTTGTCTCAGGCAGGTGAATGCCCGAATGTTAGGATGAAACAGGAGGACTGCTAGTGAACCAACGGCCAGTGTTTCTGCCCAAACATCTGAACAAAGTCAAGGAATAAGAAGCCTTCCTGGAATTATTATCCTTGACAACAAGTTAACGAAACGGAAACCTGCTTTCCGGGGAACTGTGAGGCAGGTGGACACCTGGTTAAACAATGCTGATTCTACAGAAGGTTTTCACGAACTGTAATAATCCAGCCACACTGGAAATTCTAGTTTCTCGGGCTAATGGTACTCTGAATCACAACACTGGCTTTATTGAGAACCTTGTGCTTCATAAACTTCAACTTGAACAACAGTAAAGGTAACTCCTTGGGGAGCACTGGGCGGGGGTGGGCTGGGATGGGAGTAAAAGACAGAAAACTGTACTTGAACAATTAAAATAAATAAATTTTTAAAAAAGAAAAGAAAAGATAACTCTTACTTAGTAGGCAAAGAGCCTAAAGTATCTGTGGCTGTAATTCAACATTTACTATTACCAGTAAGACCATGCATTAAAGAGCATGTGGTCAACTATCGGTTAGCTCCAGACAGAGTGTCCTTATTGGAGCAGAACAGAAAAGACGCCACCCCCGATTCTGGCAGTTAGGTCATCCTGGTGACCCGGGCAGGCAGAGGCCCAAGTTCAAGGTGCAGCCTCCCCTGCAGCAGCACAGAAACACTGTCATCAAGGGCAGACATTCACTGATCACGTAGCCCCTCCTTCTGCATTGGTGGTTACAAAGCTCACAGCTGAACATGCACCTTAAGTTCCCAGAACCCTAAGAACAGGCACGTGGGTCCCATGGCTGTCACAGTCGCCACCTCCTCGCCTCCTGTTTGCTCCCGACTGTGCCAGCGGCACAGTCCAGTACCATCGCTAACGACCTCTGCCTGGCTTCGCCAAGGGTCTCTCTTCTGTCGTCAGCTTCACTGGCTTCTCCACAGCACTCGACCCCGCTGCCACTGCCCCCTTCTTCAGAGTTCCCTTCTCTGACTCTCCAAGGGTGTGTCAATCCGGCTCCTCTTCCTCCGTCCCCGGTGGCAGTTCTTCTTGCTCTGCTGGACTCCTCAATCCTCGTGTGACTCAGAGCGTGGTGCTGGGGTACCCCTCTTCACCCACGATCTGCTCCTTCAGTGAAACCATTCTGTCCTGCGGTATCCTACACCGATTACAGTCCCGTGGCTCGGTCGGTCTCCAGGGCACACTTGTCCCCTGGGCTCAAACTCTGAGCCTCTACCCAGGCATCTGACATTTCCACGTCCTCTCTACCCGAGCCAAACATGCTCTTCCCCTCATCTTCTTGATCACAAAAGTGAGTAAAATCACACTCCCAGGAGCTTCCCAAGTAGAAAAGGAATAACCATCATTTTTTTCTCTCCTCTGCTCACGCCTCTGCCCCCACCACCCTGATATCCAACTCATTAGCCAATCATCTCGGTTTTATCCTCAAAATACATCACGAACCCAGGTTATGCTTTGGGTCATAGCTGACTAACTGCTAACAGAACAATCCTTTTGAGGAAAACAAATTCTGGACACAGAGAATACACCAAAGCACTGGAATGAGCAAAGTACAAAGCTGACAGGGAAGGGCTCAGCAGAAGCTGGAAAGTCCGCGAGGAGATTCCTGAAAATGAGGAGCCAGAGGGGCAGCTCCAAACCTCTGTGGATGTAAACTGTCAAAATCTCCGCCGGGCCCCACGAAGGCACGTGAGCACGGCAGACACAAAGACGTCCAGTGGAGTCGAAAAACCGAACCAGTGCCATTGCTTCTGGTTGTTTGACAGGACAGAGTGTGATGGCGAATAAGCCTAGTTAACTACTAAAGCAAAAAGCAATACGCTTCGGAGAAGCATGTGCCGTGCAAGTTACTGACAATACATCAACCAAGATGTTCCCGACACAAGCTGCAATCACTCTACGTGTGAGGAAACAGGACCATGTGCCCCACTCGGGACGGAACAGACCACGAGTGCAGACCAGTCCGAGGGGGCTCTGACGCTGGGATCATCAGATGGGGGTTTAATGCAGCTGTTGTAACCACACTCGAAGACGTAATAGAAAATGTGCATGTAATGAATGAAAGAAGGAGAGAAAATGGCAGCAGAAAAATATTAACTATGAAAAGAACCAAATGGGAATTTTAGAACTAAAAAAGACAGTGTCTTAAATAAAATATTCCATGGATGGAGGTAACTGCAGACTAGAGATGCCAGAAGAAAAAGTCAACAAGTGTGAAGACAGAGCCACAGAAAAGACCCGGTCTGAGCAATAGAAAGAAAGCATATTTGGAGGAAAAACTGGAAAAGACTCTGGTAGTATTTAGGATAATATCCGAAAACCCCAGATGCATGTAACTGGAGTGTCTGAAGGAGGGGAACGAGAAACTGAGGTAGAAAAAAATGATTTCAGAGCATGCATTTTCCCAGATTTGGTGACAGATACAAACTGCAGATTCAAGAAACTCCGCAAATCTCACCAGGGACACACACGGCGTCTACGACCACTCCGCTGAAACGAAATGCGGGCGAGGGTGGCGTGGGGGGGCAGGGACTTTCATACGCGTCTATAAGAAACACATTTTACGTATAAGAATGCTGAGAGGAGATGGAAAAGATATACCATGAAAACAGGAAGCATAAGGACACCGAAGTGGCTACGTTCATATCCAAGGAAGTGATTTTTGAGACAAAAATATTACTAGAACTAGAGAGATATTTCAGATGAAAAATATAACAATGTAAGTGTATACACACTTAATAAAAGAGCTTCAAAATACATGAAAAAAATTAACACACACACAAAAAGAAATAGACAATCCTACAGTCAAGAGTTAGAGATTTTAACACCCACTCTCAGAAGTGGATAGAACTGGATATAGAAATCAGTGAAGAGGTAGATCTACCACCTTGGCCACTTTGATCTGACTGATACTTATAGAATATCCACCCACCACTCCCCTCTACTAACTTTGCCATGGGCATCAGAACACAGTCTGAACTTGTTACTCCGGCCCCCAGCCCGTGACTCTGAGCTGATCTCAGCCTCCTCCACCCCTGCTGCCCATCGCAAACACCCACGCTGGTCTTTCAGTTCCTCAAACACACTAAGTTCTTTCCCACCACACTGGGGGCTGTCTCAGCCATGACCTTAGTCTAAAATGGTCTCCCCAGCCCCGCCCTGTTCCCCTTTCTTCAAAAGACTAGCCTCCTTGTCATTCAAGTCTCAAGTTTAAAGCTACCTCCTCAGAGAGCCAGTCTGTGACCCAGCTCTCCAAAGTGGCCACCAAGTCACAGTATGTCAGTTTTGAGTCTATTCTGAGTCACTACATAGTAGTCATTACTTCCTGATATATTTCTTGTTTATTGTCTGTTTCTCTCAACAACGACAAAAAAAAGTCAGCTAAAAGACAGCAAGGACTTGGCCTGTCTTACTCATCCAAACAATAGCTCCCAGCATCAGTGTTTGACAAATATTGGTTGAATGAGTGAAGAAAATTCTATAGAGTCACTTTACTCCAATCTTGTATTTATTTTCTGCATCCCGTGATCTATTTTGAAATCTAGGTGTCATACACACACTTTTATAAGCTGCCTCCAGATCTAACTGGAACTAACAAGTCTGTGAACCAGCCCGCCGAGCAGCAGGTAACCACGTGCCGGGCACTGCTCAGGGGGGCAGCACTCACACAGTGCAGCAGCCCCGGGGCACAGGCACCGCTGTCGCATTCCTTCTTAGCTGCAGAAACCCGGGCAGGGAAGCTGGACTGCCTGCCCGAGTTTACACAGCCAGGAGCTACTGAGGTCCACATCCCAGTGCAGGCAGTCTGTGTTCAGAGCTGGAACCCTTACCCACTATGTTACAGCCTCCCATCCATCTGAACAATACATCGTGGCTACTCTGGCTTAGAAGGCAGCTGTCCACCCAGCATCCTATCTGGGCCTCCCAGTTAGCCTTTCAAGTAGCAGGAGATGATTTTAACCTCATTTCACAGGTAAGGTAACTGAAGCTCAATATTAAGTCCTGATACTGGGAGCTCCTCAAGTACAGGAACAATATACTGGTCATATTTTTAAGCTCCAGGTCTGAAATGAGGTAGATGCTTCAGAGTTTGCTCAGTAACTGGCCCCACAACCCACAGCTGGTGGGAGACACAGCTGCACCCGGGTCCGAGCTAGGCCTTCTATGAGTCACATAACGGTCAAGATGAAAATCTGATTACATGCACACACCGCAAGCATATATTAAGTATTACACGTGGGTGTTACAGACAATAAACGGTGAGAGAGCCGAGGGAGTGAGCAACACGGGAGACTGGAGAGCGGTACAGGGGGGCCTGTCAGACGACAGCACAGAAACTGAACTGGACCTTAAACTGAGCCGGGCCTGGGCTTTCCACGGCTGAGAAGGGGAAGCGGCATTCCAGGCTGGGGAAAGGACAGAACAGGCGAAGTAACAAAAAGATGGGCTCAGTGGGTTGGAAATGGTGGTTCTTAGTGGAAGTTCTACAGAAGAGGGTTGTGAAAGTTAAAGAAACATAGGTAATGACTGACTAAGAGCTATGTGACTGTCAGGATAAGCCACTAGGACCTTAACCCACAGGAAATGAGTAGCATTGAAAGTGTGGGGACACAGAAAAAGGGAAATACAACGTACAAAACAGACATTTTAAGAGAGTCGACAAGAGAGTTTCCCAGGGGTTGGGGTCATCACACAACAACCAGAAACATGCAGGCCGATGAAACCGAGGAGTCAGGGCAGAGCCACCAACAACTTCAATGCCACAGACGGCCCTGACTTAGAGAACTGTATCTGAAGCCCGGGCTGGCTGGCTGCTCATCCACAGCGAAAGACAGACCCAGTGGCCCAGGAGCTCCACAGCGTAATCCTCTGAGAGGATAATCTGGTCGACCAGCTCCAGGTGAGCCCAGCCAGAAGCAAGGTGAGCAGAGCTGGGGAGTGAGCCAGCCAAGGGAACCCCATGTTTGAAGGTCAAATGGAAACAGCGCAGCAGCACGCACACCACGTTGGCAACAGGTGCTTAAGAAGTAGCCCACGCAGACTGCCCCGCTGCTCCCTCCGAGCAACCGCTATCTGTTCCAGGAGAGTTCTCCGCACTCGAGAAGGTGACTTACACCTGCCTAAATGGGAAAGGTGACGATTTTAACAAAAAATAAATAAAATTTTTTTGGCACGTATAGCTGCGATACTCAGATAAAATGCCTGGTTATGATTCAGGATGAAATAATAAAGTTCCTTCATACTGAGCAAAGACCTTTTGAATTCCACTCACTTCTTACACAGCACTAAATAAATGTGATCACAATTCGACCATTCTTCCTGGAAATATGCTGATGTAATCTTAGTAGAAAAATATCAAGTTTTCATGTATCAATAAACCAGACAGGAAGGAACAGCCCTCCGATTTTCAAACCTGTGCAAAAATGACTAATATCAACCCTAATGATGCTGCTTTCTTTGGGGTAAAGATACCTCAAGTTCCTAAGAACAGCACATGTCATTTTAAAAATATATTTTAATTAAAAATACCTCCTAATTCCTGTTCGACTTCCCTCTCTGACCCATCAATTATTTAGAAGTGTGTGTGCTCCCAGACACTTCGGGGTCTCTTGGTGAACTCTATTAAGTTGGGTCTTAATTTCACTGCGGTCAGAGAACATACTCAGAAACAATTTCAATTGTGAAATTTGGAGAAGCTTTCTGATAAATGTTCCATATGTTCTTCCAAAAAAACGCAAATTCTAACTCTGCTGGGTGCAGCATTCTACGGATGTCGGCTGGATCAAGTTTATTTATTACTCCAGTGAGACCTTCTCCAACCTTATCAATTTCTTGTCTGTTCTATACGCTCTTGAAGTGTGTGCGTTCCACTGGGATTATGGGTTTATTTTGTTTTAAACCTGTCCAGTTTTGCTTTGTATATTTTGAAGTACTGTTATTTATCACGTACACACTTAAGACTGTGGCACTGGCCCTTCTATCATGATAAAGTAATCTCTCGATCTCCAAGTAGCAGCTGAGCACCAGGGCGCTCTGACGTGGGCGGGGCCACTCCAGTTTGTCTGGGCTTGTGTTTGTATTGTGTATCTTCCTCCATCCTTCTGTTTACAAGATGTTACTTGTAAGGGGCACATAATTGGGTTTTTGGTTAGTTATCAAGTTTGACAAACTCAGTCTTTTACTTGGAGTACTTAACCCACTTATATGAAATGTAAGTAGTTACAGATAAATTTTAGCTACCATCTTACTCTGTTTTCAGTTTAACCTAACTTAGTATTTTATGCTCCCCTTTTATTCCTTTTTTAGATGGAATACAATGTTGTTTATTCCATCTCCCCCTCTACTAGTTTGTTATACACGCAAATTTTATTCTTTTAAAAGTTACCTCTGAGATTACAAATGTATCCTTGACTGATGACCCCCCCAATGCAAATCTTTACAATTACCATTCCCCCCCATAATTCTGGACTCTTACAACACATCAAGCCCTTCTCTGCCTCTGAGCCACTGCCATGCGTGTGAGTCTTACATGCATTTTAAACTCTGAAAACATTTTGTTTTCCACGGCCAACACCTGCTCGTACTGTACACGTCTGTCCTTTATGACGTCCTCCATGCTTCTTGGGTTTCCACCTGGGAGCGTTTTCTTCTGCTTAAGGCAGCTCCCTCCAGCATCCATTGTAACGCAGGCCCACTACTGGCAACCCCCTCGGTTTTTGTCTGAAAATACCTTTATCCCACTGTCTTTTTTCAAGGAAATTTTTGCTGAAAATGGACTTCTGGGGGGGCAGATTATTTTTCCTTTCTGTACTTGACGTTGGCCATTTTAGTGCCTGTTGTTTGACTTTTTTAAATTGATTTATTTTCAGTAAGTTATTTTTATTGTACCTTTCCCATCACCGCCGACCCCTCGCAGAGCCCCTCCCTCCTCTCCCAGCCACCTCACCGCTCTCCACGTCCACGCGGCCTTTTTCCCCTTTGCTCGGTCACTTCTTTTAAAATGTCACTGTCACCTCAGTCATAATATTGCTCCTCCAAAAGCAGTGTCTTTTTCCGCTCTTTAGTCGCCTTTAAAATTTTTATCTCTGTCAAACGCTTCCACAGTCTTACACTGGTGGGCAAAGATATGTTTCCCTCATAGTCATTTTGCTTATGGTTTTCTAAGTTTTTTGAATCTGTCAGCTGCCTTCATCATTTTGTAAAATTCTTGGTATTACCTCTTCGAATATTGCTTCTGCCCAGTTCTACCTACGTTAGACCTTTCAACCACATCCCACGTCTTTAATGTCCTCTCCTATTTCTTATTTTCTTTTTTTCTCTGTGTTTCAGTTTGACATCATCTACTATTTATTAATTCTATTATGTATTATAACCAGTCTGCTGTGGGTTCTAGCCATTAATTCTAATTTCAAACATTCAACATAATGTTCCAAATGTCCAGCTTGTTTTATAATAAAATCAAGTCTTGCTGAAATTCTCTTTCCTTCCTGTACACCCACATTTTCCTGCAGTTACTGTCTTGCACATATTATTATGGCTACTAATAATACTACTACTAATTACTTTCAATGAATTTCTAAGTCTCTATAAGATATTTACTAGTCTTTCAAAGTACATTTGAAATATGCTTTTAAAATAAAAGCACCAGTAAAACAGTTACTTCTTACCTCTTCATAAAACTTCACCTGAGGTACAGCTTCATTAATTTCATTCAAACAAAAATCTTTAAATAGCAAGAAACCTAAAGGAAAAGAATAAAACAGTTCAGGGTGGGCAATAAATTGGAATTGTACCCCACAGGGTATTTTCAAAGTAATGTACTTATACTTCAACCTCTTCCTCCCTTAACTTAAAAATATAAAAATAAAGATTTCAAGAGGCTAATTACACCCTCAAGGGAAGTCCTCCAGGTCAGTATGAGTCCCGCAAACCTGGCTCTTTGCTTTGGGGTCCGTCTCTATGGGCTACCCCCCTCCCACTTCTGGCAAATGAATGACAAGCAGAGCTAGCAGCCACCAGCACTTAGAGCTGCCGCCGGTCACCACGGTGAGCAGAAGGATAAGCAGAGAGACAGGACACGCGGGTAGAATGGAAGTGTCACCACGGAGCTAGTAAATACCAAGTCCACAGAAACGGGACAAAACTCCCATAAGAGACAAAAGGCCCTCCACGGACTTTCTAGTTTTTTCTCTCACCACTGACTACCTCCGAGTCCCCACTAAATACCTCGTGCCAGAGCAGACCACCCACTCCCAACTCACCCTCGGCTCCTTCCCCACCCCACGCCTCGCTGTCCCATGACTGGCAGCGTGCACCTGGAACACGCCCCCCCTGCAGTGTCGGGGACACAGCAGGGGGCCGGCACACGTCTGTTAAGCGGGATTTTATCTGCACGACCCTTCCAACATGCTTCCGTCAGAGCACTTAGTGCACGCTGCTGAATCATCTGATTCATAAGCCCCCCACCCCATTTGCATACCTAGTACCTAGCTTAAGTGTCCAACACAGGCCTGCATGAATTCGTGAGACGGTGAGCAGGACAGGCTGATTTCAGTCAAACACAACTGAAAAGTGGACGCAATTAAAGCATCGCTACAAGACACTGAAGTCACGGGAGGGAACTGAAGGAGGACTCACAAAAAGTCTCCACTGCAGGCAGAACGTGGGCCAGAACCCCCCAGTACCACAGAACCGAGACCAGGGAAGCAGCTTCCGCAGCCTTTTCCTCCAAGCCGGCCTCGGAACCACGTGACCTGAAATTGCCTGTGACTGCCCCATAATCTCCTCTCCTTAGTTCCAGGAACCTGACCTTTGAAAGTGGTAAATGGTCACTCGCTGGAACTAAAGAAAAGCGCTGGGACCACTCGGGTAAGTAGGCAAGGTCAGATGCCCGGGGCGAAGCGCTGGGGCGGCAGGAACGAGGCCACACTGACCAAGGACCTGAGCAGAGGCTGGTGCCCAGAGGAAGTAGGGATTCAAGCCGCAGACAAGTAGGGAGAGTTGACTCTACCTGTAAGACTATGAGCATTTTTACATGAAATAAAAGTGATGGCTGTCTTTTTGTTTTCATTCATTTCAAAGTGATTTTAAATTTCCCTTGTCATTTCTTCTTCAGCCCACGAGTCATTCAAAAATGTTTAATTTAGCCCTGGCTGGTGTAGCTCAGTGGATTGAGCAGGGACCTGTGAACCAAAGGATCGCAGTTCAATTCCCAGTCAGGGCACATGCCTGGATTGCAGGCCAGTTCTCAGCAGGGGATGCATGAGAGGCAACCATACATTGATGTTTCTCTCCCTTTTTCCTTCCCTTCCCCTCTAAAGATAAATACATTTAAAAATCTTTTAAAAATGTTCAGTTTAATTCCCCAATATTTTATTTGTCATCCCCCCACCCCCAGGTATTTTCTGATACTGATTTCTATTTAATTCTCTTGTGGTCAGAGAACACATTCACTATGATTTCAATGCTTTTCACTTCACTGAAACTTGATAATGGTCCCAAATTTGGTACATCTAGGTGAATGTTTCATGAGTGCTTGGGAAAAGAAAAAAGTGTAGACAGAAGAGTGTTTCATTAAACAAAATAAAAGCCTATTAAGCAAACTTGGCTGATAGTTATTCAAGTCCATCCACTAAATCCTTAATGAATGTCTGTCTATTCTCCTATCCATTGTTCAGAGAGGACTGATGAAATCTACATTTGTACTTGTAGGTTTGTTCTTCGTTTTACGATTCTGCCAATTTTTGCTTCATGTATCTCCTTTTTATTTTTGGAAGAGGAAAGTAAGATGAGAATTTGAACCCATACCTTGATCATACTAAAGGTGTTTTTTTTTAATGTCTAACTGACACCCTGGCTGGGCGGCTCAGTCGGTTAAAGTGTCGTCCCAATGCGCCAGAGTTCCAGGCTGGATCCCCAGTCAGAGCACATACAAGAATCAACCGATGAACGCATGAATAGGTGCAACAACAAATTGACCTTTCTTCCTTTCTTCCTTCCTTCCCTTTCCTTTTCTTCTCTTTCCCTGCTTCCTCTTTCTCTCTAAAATGATCAATAAATTCAAATCTAAAAATAAAACGTCTAGATGGCAACATGAATGGACCTACCACACACAGGCCACTGGTTTTCGACTGCACCTGGAACCAAACTGAAACTGGTCGCCGTGGCCTCCGGAATCGGGCCCCCACTTTCTTCTGCAGCCTCACCTCACGGCACTCTCTCCCACGCTCACTCCACCCAGACCGCGTGTCTATATCCCAGTTTCTCCCACGCCGCCCTGAGTCTGCTCTCCGGTCTCTAACCCGCTGTCCCCACTTCCTTGGACACGCCTTCCCTGGGCCCTGAGGACGTCAGGACCCAGCTCAAACGCCCTAAGGCCTTTGACGGCTCTCACCCATCTTCATTCTCTCTCCCTCCCTCTCTCTCTCTCTCTCTCTCTCTTGTTCCCTCTCACAGACACAAACACAGGCGTGTGCACACAAACACACTTTGTTTATACTCGGGACGACCAAGATTACCGTACGCGTATGGTGACTTCTTCACCACCCCCGTCCCCAATGCACCAGACGCTGCCCTTGGACAGGTCCCCGCGTCTCCTTCTCTGTACACGTGCAGGAACGAGAACACTGACTGGGACAGAAAAGGAGGTCAGAAGAAAGAACAAAGGAAGGAAGGAGGAAGGGGGGAGACAAAGGGGAAAGTAAAAAGGAAGGCAAATGGGAGGGAGGAGGGACAGAAAAGAGGGAGGCAAGACGAGGAAGATACGGAGGGAGAGGGGGACTCGAACGAGTGAAGAGCCAACTTAAAGTGCTTCTAGCTACTTTCTTTAAGACAACTGTTCCCGTCGATGCGTCCAATGAGCCGAGGAACCGCCGTAACACCCCACGACGGGGGAAACCACTGCTTTCCTCGCATCTCCACACGAACTGAAGCTCTGCTTTGCACCACGGCAGCTGTTAAAAGGGAGCAGCCGGGAGATGGTTTGCCTTGTGGATTAACTCTAGATCATCATGTTCCAGGCTGAACGCAATTTATTTTCATTGGACTTAAATTACATTTTAAAAACAAATAGCGTTCTTCTCAGATTAGAACAAAATCAAAAGGACAAAAATTGGGAAATAATTTGCCTAACAGGTTCCTTTCATCAGATTTCCCCAGACTTTGAAGATTATAAAGTAATGACCTACCGCCTGCGTACCAGGTAATTATGGCTGTGTCTACCCTCGTTTCCACTGCAAAATGAATACTGACTAACATTTGAGTGTATGTACAATCCAGGAAAGGCAAACTATCCCAACTTCCCACCACAACAGTTTGCAAAAATTAGTAGAAAGAGTTGCATTGCTTTTTATGAAATATTAACGAGAACTTCTGAAGAGTGTTCAATATCAGTGGGGTCTAAGGAGAAATTTTGAAATTTTAACTCCTAAAATTTTTTAAAGGGAAAAAAGAAATATGGAAAAAAAGTTCTGCAAGAAATAATACTTGTGCTAGGTTTTGCCAAAGAGACGCCAACACTGGGAGGGAGGAGAGAGTGCACAGCTGACAGATGCTCCACCAACGCGTGGTCCAGCGAAGCGTCGACCGAGTGTCCTCCACGGGCCTCTGAGCTCCGCACAGGGGATATGATGCTACGGGTTTGCTCTGTAGGGGGCCTTAGGGGTGGTGCGTGAGGCAACAAAGAAGCAAGCAAATAAAATAAGTGTGTCATTTGTGGTAAACAACATAAAGGGATTTCAAAAGGTGCTGAGATCGATGATAAAAAGAGGAAGAGGTTCATACAGAATTCAGTAAAGATTCCTCTGAGCTGTGAGATAAGCAAAGTACAAAATGTTTTTATTTAAAATAGGCTAAAATGTCTAATCTCACTCATTCTATTCAATAATGTATAAGCAGTCTCAGCAAGTGCAATAAGGTAAGAAAAGGAAGTAAAAGCTATTCAAAATGGAAAGAAAGAATTAAAACGGATTCTATTCATAGACAAACTGGTTATCTCTCTAACAAACCGAATCTAGGAACTACTGGGATACATAAGTGAATGTAGCTGAATTTAGCAAGGCCACAAGACACAGGCCGTTAGACGAGAATCAATGACGTTCTGATAACCTCACAACACACAATTGTAAAGCAAGTCCGTCTGCAACAACATCAAAAACAATCAATATTTAGGAACAAACAAATAAATAAGAGACATGAAAGACCTTTATGCTGGAAACTACAACACATTACTGAGAGAAGTTGAAGACGATGTAAAGGAGTGGAAAAGGGTACTCAGTTTATGGGACTGGAAGGCTGCAGAAGGCTCTGGAAGGCTCAGATGGTCATACTCTCTGAGCTTAAATCAATGTAATTCCCATGCAATCCCTGCAGACTTCGTAAAGAAACCGAACTGCTGTCATTAAAATGTAAGAGGAAATACAAAAGAAAGTAGAATACCCAAAGCACCTATAGAAAAAAGAAGTTCAAGAACGTACGCCGCCCCACTTCAACACTCATTCATTACACAGCCACAGCAATCAAACGGCACGGCACTGGCGTGAGTCTGGTCAGAGGGACGGAAAAGAACCCCAGAAATATGCCCGCACTTACATGGTCAACTTATTTTCAAAAAAGTCTCCAAAGCAATTTATTGGGAAAAGAACTCTGTTCAACAAGCGGTACTAGAAAAACCTATATCCAAATTTTCCAATTAAAAAAGGAAGACAACCCTTACCTCACACCTTAAAAAGAATTAACGTTGGT